GATGAAAAGGCACTGTAATCTGAGAGGTACCAGGAGAGTTGTTTAACCCTAGTTTAAGACACTAACTATCCTACATATGACAAAATATAGAATCTTAAGATGTCTTGAAGAGCATTGCACCTTTAGCGCACTCAGTGAAAATTTAATATTTCACAGTGTAACTATCATTCAATATCATCAGTGTATGACTGTTTTGTCATTCGAAAATGGTTAATTCTAATGATCTTTGATCACTACTAGTGTAGTGAACAGAACACTGGTTGGGGACAATCGAATGTATTTAAGCAAACATTACAGACTATCTCAGTAAATTCTGACAACCAAACAATGAACAGTCAATTTGCAAATTAACAACCAATTCAAACAAACAATACTAAGTTGAATTTAACAACCAATTGTTTCAATCTTCACTGTTTCTTCTCTTATTCCATTGCTCATGCATTTTCCAAACGATTGCGCTTCATTTCAGTTTTTTTCCTCATCGGTCTTCTGCCAAAATACATTCTTTGTCTGACCCACACCGTATACTACTTATATGGATATAAGTAGACCACACCACACTAGGACTGCAGAATCCATTTCATAGTTAATCCTCATTGAGCACACTATTATTGCCAAACAGTATGGTTTCGATGATTAGTTAAAATGATTCTATGTACATGTACATGACTAAGAAGTGTCAAACCCAAATTAAATGATTATCAAGTACCTTCTAGTTTTAAATTATTTCCCAGTGGTTGATAAAAAACTAACATCCAAACGACCAATCTAGACAAACATTTAGCCTGAATTAATTAAATTTCTAAGAATAACAAACCACGAAACCTTTATCAGATAATGCACATCACTTAATTACAGACAAGATTGTGGTTTATAGATAACTTAGTTATTATTATTCCTATTTGATTTGGTAAAATAAATTAGAAAATAATTACCACCTGTAGATCAAACATTTCACATAAATCACTAATTTAAAAAACCCATAAAACACCTATTAAAATAAAAAATGATGAGATCGCCATTCGAACAATTTGCTTTTTTGAAAACGCACAGTTCCTTTAAGAATTTGTAGTCAGTAATATTCAGTACGAGGCCGTGGCTCAGTGTTCTAAAGGTCAGGCAGTTGCGCGCAAGACCGACGTTCCTGGGTACGATTCCTGCACGCGGGGTCGTGAATGGGCACTGTTGAGGAGTCTCATGTCAGGAAGAAACAGCTGTCTAGTATTCCTAGGTTCCCGATTGTAGTCTAACGTAGATCGGTTAGTGATTTCAATGGAAGTCTATAATATATTTGCAGGTGATATTCGTTACGGATTGAAATCATCTGAGCAACAATTGGGAAACAGAGATGCTTAATCAAGCGTAACCTCTTAGTAAAGTATGAGCTTCCTCAGGAGTATTCACCTCAATCTTCACTAGAAATTTGATCTAAAACTGTAAGCGGTTAAACTTTCGACCACGGAATTGGAACTCGGTTGTCTACGTTTGCAACTACAACTAGTTCACATATTACAACGCCATCAGTGATGTCATTAAGTGTGAGAATTCATCAATTATAGTGAAATAGTATCCTCTTTGTTACTAATATGTACTTTTTTAAATCGTTGATCATGTGTATTAGCCATACTTGTTATTGTATTAATTTAACTGTTGTGGAATGAGTCATAATCGCATTGAATTGTAAAATTAAATTGTTAAATAATTTCAACTAAGTCCAGTTCAACATGGATAACCATTGGATGCAACTAAATTAATATTGTAGTGAGAGTGAAGTAGCGTAACCATCAATGACAACTGAATTACTAACTCATATTTTTTGATACCAGCGGCAACAGAAATAGTTTCTTAGATGCTTATGACCTAGGTGATATGCTGTCTAACACTTATCAATAACGTTTGTCTACAATATCCACGAAAATCTACTTTACTCTGAGATATGATAAAAATTAATCTCAGAAAGATTGTTAACAGATGAATAAACTTTATATATTTTGATCGAGATCATAAACCGATTGTTGTTAGACCACCATTGAAAATCTGGAATCAATGGTCGGCCGTTTCGTCCTACTGTGGGTATCCTCATCAGTCCCCATCCACGACACTGCTCGAAGAATTTGAACCCAGGGCCCTCAATCTCACGAGCGAACTCTTAACCTCTAGACCACTGACCCTGCATACAACGGTGTTAATGTTTGACTTCAACCAATCCACGAAATTGCGTAACCATCTTCCATTGTACTGAGATAGATACCTATTTCTACTTAACTTTATGTAACTTACATATTCATCTATAATACTGTTACGATCATTTTTGAATTGAAATAAATACTGTAAGAAATAACTTTCTGAATAAGATACAACAAATTCTGACACATAATATTAAATGATTTAGAGAAAACTATTAAACATATGTTACCATCAAATCAACATCCAAAAGGAAAAAAAAGGTATGACATTGTACGTTAGTTAATAATAAGACTGCAAATTAAATTCAATAATAAAATGTAACTACTTTATATATTGAATTCTTTAATAAATAAAATTATATTTATTTGTATAAATTCTTGTTTATTAATTACATTGATTGGGAAGTTGAATGATAGAGGGAGCTGTAAAAATTTACTATCTTAGATAGGAATAATATATTTTTGTATAAATTAGAGCAAATAGTTTCACAGTATTTGAGCGCCAATTTGATGTAGGACATTAAATAGGATAAGATGGTGGTTGGAGGTGGTCAACAGGAAACCTTGGACCCGGGTTTCGTGCTACTTGGCACTCGTCAGCAAGGTGTACCTGTAATCTTGAGGGAACTGGTGCTCCCTGACAGATTCGATCCCGTGTCGCTCAGCTTCACAGTCAGAGACGTTACCACTCAGGTATTCGGGCCGCGACCGACCTCCTGTAGACTGAGATGTAATCATAATTGATTGATCACTGGGTGGTGATCAATTTCATGCGTGTCAAGTCCTTCCTAGTGCTGATCGAATGCTATCGAAGAATATATAAGTAAAATCTCACCTAATTAATTCGAAGTAAATCCAACGTTTCTCCAGGCAATCTAGTCCAAGCTTTTTCAAAGAAACTATTCGCTGTGATTTAGACGAAAGTTCTTATATAATTTATTATCTTGTTTAAGTTTTTAACTATTGTAGTCTATCATAATTTTAAGATAATATTCAAAAAAGGAATAGAAAGTTTAAAAAAATATTTTCAGTGCTATTAAAAGATTTCCTTGTAAAGAAGTTGCAAATGGATAGTCATAAATGACTTTGAAATAACTTAATCAGATGACAAAATTTGAATTTGGTGTGATGAGTTATTGAAATCTTGTAAATAAAATATAATGTGTAGAAATGATCTCCACATTCACAGGAGATGCGCGGAATACAGTGGAAAGCTTGGATGCAACTAGAAGATTTGGACTTCGCATATGATCTAACTCTTTTATCCCATACGCACCAACAAATATAGGTGAAGACAACTAGTGTAGCAGCAGCCTCTACAGCAGTAGACCCCAACATACACAAGATTAAAAGCAGGATTCTAAAATGCAATACAACGAGCACCAACCTAGTCACATTTGATGGAGAAGCTCTGATAGATGTGGAAACCTTCACATACTTGGGCAGTAACATTGATACATAAGGAGGATCTGATGAAGATGGAAAGGCATGGATTAGAAAAGTAAGAGCAGCATTCCTACAATTAAAAAACGTGGGACTCACAACAACTGTCAGACAACTTCAGAGTCAGAATCTTTAATACCATCGTCAAGATAGTTATATCGTAAGTAGCTGAAACTTGAGGAATTGCTACCCTCAAAATACTAGACAATTTTTAAGAGCAAGTCATTTTTCAAAAACATATCTTAGTTATCTTGAAAATCACTTAAATGTAAAACTCTACAAAAAACGTATTGTTTGACCGAAAGTTTTAACTAGTGATAAATAATAATAATAATAATAATAATAATAATAATAGTACTTATTATATGCCATATGTGTTATTTAGCCTTGGTATCTTTCATAGAGTATGGGTCGCTGATTAGGCATAAACAAGTCACTATGTTTTAGACTTTCCTGCAATGGAAAGCAGTTGTTGCAGTTGTCGTCGTGGGGATTTATTAAACAAATCATTAATCCATCTTCTCTATTCAGGTTTACGAACGGCAGTAACCCCAGGAGGGGCCCAAGAGGGGTTTAATTGTATATATCCCTTTATTAAATGGAAAATTTTGATTGGATTATTAATTAGTTTATTAAGACATGTTAATTTATTGAAATATACACATGTGTTTGTGTGTCCTTAACTATTTGTCGATTGTTGGTGTACAAGTAAGGTTCAGACATTCACCTCAAAATATGATCTGATAATCATCATTACACACACTAGGGTAAATAAACAAGTATGTTTTCATAGAACTTTGTAATCGCATTTAATTGCTTTGCTCGAAAAAGGTTGATTTCCCTCTAATAAAAAAATCAATTATTCTGTAATGGATTGGTTCTTCTACTATTGTTTGACTATCATCAATTCTAAACAGTTCACTAGACAAGGGGGAGGAAGGACGATACATACCTAAAGCTGTATGCATAAATGAGTCATGGATACACAAAAAGAAATTGGTTTGAAATGCACTAGTGAATCACAGTTTTATCATACACACATACACACCTACAAAACAGGTGTGTGTTTTAAAACATCGCGGTTATATTTTCCCTTTATGTAACATATAGACAGTTAACCTTCGAAAGGTCATATGTAAGGTAATGGGCTGGTTATAATGTCAGATATTGATTGGGTTAAGTTCATTTTCGCGGCTAACTTGAAATAACTTCATCTCTTTCTCCAGAATGAAAATGCTAATTTATGTGTATGCATTATATTATTCAGTTTACTGAAATTGTTTACAAATGCATTAATAGAAAATTACTTATTCTTCTATAAAAGTGAATAAAATAATAAACTACAATTTTTTATAATTCAATATTCAACAGAATTTTGGAAATCAAACAATAATTGGAATGTTGACTATAAACCATCTTTGAAGAGTCCATTCTTTCCTAATCCAAAATTGTTTACTTCAGAAAATTCAATGAAATCATCAATATTAAGAAATCAAGATAGTAATATGTCAGTTAATCAGATATCACAACAACAGACACGAGAATATCCACGTTGGAGACAAATGAATGTCATTGGTAATAAGAAAGATAATAAACTGACAACATCGACAACAGCACCACGAATACGCCCAAGAGCAAGTTCAGTAAATGATCGTTCAACACAACATCATTATGAAACAAAATTAAAACATAAAGAGATTGAGAAACCCATAAATATCAATAATAATAATAATAATAATAAACATGCAGATACTTTATTTAAAACAATGAAACAAAGATTAGATTTTAGAAATAATTATTTACATAAAACGATTGATAATAATGGCAAAGTAGATCGATTACCACCAGAAAAACATTCTTGTCAACAGATTACAAATATTCTATCACCATCGTCATCATCATCGTCTTCTTCAAGTGTTCCCATAATTACTACAACTATTCAAAAAATATCACCTTTAAATAAAATTAATGAATCAATTGAATGTTCTTCTGTTCGATTAAATCAAAATCGACGTCATCAAAATGGGGTAAGCTATGGTCTTTTATGAGGAACATATGTAACAAGATAGTATGTACATAGATTACAGGTATTTATTCATAGGTTTCTTCGGAACATTATTGACGTATGTCAGAACCACAGAGTAAGAAGTGGTGGAATTAGGCAGAGGATATTAACTAAAGATGACTTACAGGTTAATTAAATAGTAAATCTTCATCAACTGAGGGGATTGGATACGTGTAACGTATACCGAACCACTGTCTATCTCAACGAGTGGTATAATCTAGTTTAGGAGTAGGCTGGAAAAGAGCTAAGAGTGATCAGTCCGAAACGTTGTATCAATCCATGGAGTTACTGACCTAAATTGAGTAATGTAAGTGAGTACACTGGCTTTATTTGTATTGGTTGTTTAAATCCTCACACTGATGTTCAGGATTGTAACTGATCAGTATCGTTTGGTCACTGTATTAAACCTCATTGGGAAGATTTAAACAACCAATACAACTGAATTAAACCCCACCCCATTGCATGGGCCAGTGAGTACCTGTTCTCAGTAACTAAGTGGATAATGCGACAGAGTTTGTAGTGTACGGCCCCATGTTCGAACCCCGAAATGAATGTCAACTATGGGGAACAGGTACACTCAGCTAAAGAATCCCAAATGGGATGAAACTCTCACCCTAGACTCCGCTGCTAGCCACCATCCTAGCATTTATATTTAGACAGAAAATTTCAGGCTAATCTTTTAGAGAATCATCCTTCAAACTGAAATATCAATTTGTGCTGTTGTTGTCGTCGGAAATCATATTAACAACAAAAGTATTCAGTCATGGTGCCTAAAACGTTTCTCGACCCATAAGGTAGAAAGCAGTGTTCACTTTGATGAAATACTTAGTTTTTAGGAAATTGCGTTAATAAACAACAATCCAAATGAAAATCTTGATTTGACTGGTAAAGTACACAGGTACATCAGTGATTGTAACTAACCGTTTCGATGGTCTAACGATGAACCTGTGTTTGTGTGTAAGTATGTTCCTGAAGTGAACTAAAAGTATGACGGTATGTTTCACTTAAAAAGTTTTGTTTGCGCTTATAGACGTTGTCTATATATATATATATAAATGAGTACTTTTTCTGAATTTATGATACTTAAGTGGACTAAAAATACTACCGTTTCTAATTATAACTAAAAAATAATATATTTACTGTAGAATTTCCGCACTTTTCTTGTTAATAAAGTAGAAATGATAATATTTAGAATAAGTAATGGCTTTTTCTAATGACGATGACTGGAATTATTTTATTTTTTGCGATTCCTCTTATTAAACATATGATTACCAGGAATTATATCATCTCTTAAGATTCTGTGAATAAATATGCAAACATGGATTCTGGTTAGCGGTGAAAGTCAAAAAGCGTGTTTCATCCTATTTGGGACTCATCAACTGGGTCAAATACACCCCTGTATTGACTGTTACAGTATGCATTCTACATATAAATCGTCAACACTTTCTGTGTTGAGACTATTTGTTTAGAGCACATGTATTTCAACAAAGACTGACCCAGAATTCAAACAAGTATATAAACAAAGGGATAATTCAAACGCTTTCAAATAATGATGTTAACCTGCACAGGGTCTTACGAATCCTATCTTCAGTATGTACTGTTGCCAAATAGTGTGCAGTTCTATTATTAAAATTACGTATAAATTTGCCATAATAATTTGTACCAACTTTTTTGAATGTAAACTGTCAACTTGACAGTTTTACCTAAATTTCTTTTTTGTTCAACGATCACACTATCATATTCCAAGCAAAATGTTTCACGTAAACCACTTATCAAAATTATTGAAAGTTGAATAAAAACCCAGTGTGCCACTAATTCAAATATCACTGATCATATGAAATTGACAGTTAACCAATAAAGTCAATCAAGTTTATTCAGTCTTATTACAGGACATTATTTAGATGATCAAGCAAAGCTTCATTGGGTGATCAGTGAGCTTCATTGATTTAATTTCTAAAGTTTAATCAATCTTGTAGCATCTATACGCCTAAAACCTTAGATATAGCTAAACACCACATATTGTTAATATATTTATACAGATTGAAGAGAAACTGACTTGAATATTTGACTTCTATTTTCGGTCTGGTGCCTCTGACTTACAGAGGTATTGTTAACTCTCTTGCAATAGCTGTCAGACAGACGCTGATTCATGGGTATAGTAAACTACTCACTGCACTGAATGTGTTGTTGTAGGACATTTCATGACAGACATGATATTAATTACCACTGAGTGATTGATCAATTCAAACACCTGAGTTTTAGAGGGGAAATCAGTGGTAGTGTCTTGAACCATGAATCAAGGTAACGAGAGTTTGGATCGCGCAAGTAACATGAAATACACAAAAGCTGAAAGTATATTTTAATGATGAGTAACAGCTAACACGATACCCAATTTTAGAATTTCATATTTACCATTTCCAACCACCCGACAACTAATATACTAATTTGAATCTCATACTAACTAATTTATTTTGAATACTTGGGTTGGTCGTCAGACGTTAGATATAAATCACAGAAATATGATTTTTTGGATTAGATGGTTACCCTGGTTTTCTTCTGTTTTAACATCTATTTGTCGCGATCACTTTTCTGACTTCACAATGGACAAAAATTCATAGTTTCAGTCAAGAAAACCACAGGAAGATACTAAGAAGATTTTCCGACATATACAATTTAGAAAAAATAGTTTGAAGGTGTTTCAATGTTAAGCATTTATATTATGGCGACTGTGGAGGAAAGTTTTTTCCGATAAATAGTATTTGGAATTTCTTTGTATAAATCCATAGTGTTTGTTGTTTTGTATGGAAAGTACTTAAAATAGTCCATTTCATCTGCTAAATAGAGTCTCGATCAGTTTGTTGATCGACAACACACGCGCGATCTCTCTCCCATATATTTCCATACTAACGTTTAATTACTTAGTAATTACATCAAGATGTACGTAAATAAGCATGCAAAAGTAAAATAATATTTCATTACAGTCAATAATAGAATGTCCACTAGCTAGTTAAAAACTATTGCACACATTTTTGTAAATCACCTTTTCTTTTTTCAATCATATTTAATTTATAGAATTAGTTTTTAATAAAGTTGATTAAGTAGTAGAAATAAATAAACATTTGTTACAACGTACAATCAGTCTATTGCTTCTCTTTTTCTCAATTCCAACAGTTAAACAATATTACAGTTAATTCTCGGTTAAATATTTAAGTGCCATGTATCATAGTTTTACATGATTGAATGTAGTTCAATATAGAGAAGATGGATTGTGGGCAGTAGTAGGATTCAGAACACTCACTTCGTCTTGATTAGGAATCTTCAGATGAACGTATCTGAATCCTAGTGTTTATGTTCACATGGGGACTCGAACCCAGTACCCTTTACTTTGAACTCACAGCTTGTTATTTATTGAGCTATCATGTTCGAATAGCCGGTTATTTATGCATGATTATTAGTAAGCGCTAGAATTTATTTTCGGAAAAATGAAATAGGCTGCCACTAGCTACCTAAGTTCATTAAAAAATGTATTGTATCATAATTATAACATAATTGACTAAATTTGATCTTATTACCACGAATTTATCGTCGCTCAGAATGACAGTTTGAAAAAGTGATGAATTTAAAGGAAAACTTTACTACGTACAATATGAATATTAATTTACTGATATTTGCTACACAAGTTTTGTTCTACAATTTTCCATTTAGTGACTTGAACATATTCACAGTTGGTGGATAAAGAGTACTTCGTATGGGTTCATATGATTATCGTGAATAGTGGTTGGAGATGCTGTGCAACATGTAGCAGATTCGTATACTATTTACCTTATATTAGATTCTGTGTCTTGAAACTATTTGACGCCTTTTTATCGTCACTGACGCTAGTATCAAATTGGTGTTCATCTCACTGTACTGACGTTGTGCGAGTGTTTATACCAATGCACATATATTGTTAGCTGTTATGTTTCTTTTGACTGACTGACTTGTATCTGTGGTACAACTTAATAATATGAATGAAACATTTTTCACTCATTTGAACCGAAAGGACTTCCAATCCTCCTTATTGGCCCTCAACAATTCCGAAAAAATGATTTCAAGTATAAAATTTACTTGTGACATCAAAGAAGATTGATGGAAATAGAACCAATAACAGCAAAGTATCGTTTTTCATGGGGAAATGAAAGACACTTAGAGTTGCAAATTGTGTAGGGAATAAACATAAACAGTTGTAAATAACTACATAAATAACAAAACAGTAGAGAATTCAAACGGGTTTTAGGGACTGATTAATTACTAACAGTTGGTTTATTTTTCAATCAGTTAAGGATTAGATATTTTTCTACTTTTAATATACTTGATCAACCTCGAACTGGTAATAGTCAGGATAACAGAAAATATGCTCTATTTACAGGGCGTTAACATAACGGTTTTCATCGATGTAATGGCTAATAGAAGCGATAAGACTAATGGTTTCTAAATGATTGAAACAATTTTTAGGTCAGGTAAAATGTTTCCTCTAGTGTCACGTTCTCTCAGTTAGTTGGTTTAATTGTGAACCCTTCAGTAACATCCTGGACAACATCATGAGGCACGACATTAAGTAAAATAATGCACTCTTGACTACTAGACAAATAGTAAATCAGTCCTTCTTGATGACCTTGCTTCCGAATGGTTGTCTTTGCAGATTATGCTAACTTCATGTAACCTTCCTCGCAACCACTTTGGCTGAATCACCCGACTAGTCGATACAGATCCAATCCATGTAGAAAAGGTCAACTAGTCAAATGGTCAAAGGTTAAATGAACTAAGCAACTATAGGTATTACATTGACATAGGAGGATAGTAAAAACTGCTAGGGCAACCAACTTGAGACAAATTCATTAGAACAAACTGACTTAGTGTTTGTAGAATAATTGAAGAGCTAACTTCTGTATGGAATATAAGCTGGTAACAGTGTCCAGAGTGACAAAGAAAGCTTTGAAATTAAACCATAGGTAATGTAGAAAACTTTAGTAAGCATCAGCTATGCAGTTTAATTGGTTATGTTCATACAATCCTACGTAACTTTTTATATCGCTGTACTTTTGTTACTTACTTACTTACGCCTGTTACTCCCAATGGAGCATAGACCGCCGACCAGCTTTCTCCAACCCACTCTGTCCTGGGCCTTCTTTTCTAGTTCTATCCAGTTCTTGTTCATTCTTCTCATGTATATCTCTATTTCTCGGCGTAATGTGTTATTTGGTCTTCCTCTTCTCCTTTGACCTTCAGGATTCCATGTGAGGACTTGTCTTGTGACGCAGTTAGGTGATTTCCTCAAAGTGTGCCCAATCCACTTCCAGCGCTTCCTCCTGAATTCTTCCTCTGCTGGAATCTGGTTTGTTGTCTCCCACAGTAACTTGTTGCTGATAGTGTCTGGCCATCTGATCCGAAGTATCTTGCGTAGACAACTGTTAATAAACACTTGTATCTTATGGATAATGGCTTTCGTAGTTCTCCACGTCTCCAACCCATACAGCAGAACTGTCTTCACATTTGTATTGAAAATTCTAACCTTGGTGTTGGTTGACAATTGTTTTGAGCTCCAGATGTTTTTCAGTTGCAGATATACTGCTCTTGCTTTGCCGATCCTCGCCCTCACATCTGCATCTGATCCACCGTGTTCATCAATGATGCTGCCCAGATATGTAAAGGTTTCCACATCTTCCAAAGCTTCTCCATCAAGTGTAATTTGATTGATCCATATTGTATTGTATCAGAGAGTCTTGCTTTTCTCTTTGTTTATATTGAGACCTACTGCTGCTGAGGCTGCTGCTACACTGGTCGTTTTCTCCTGCATTTGTTGTTGCGTTTGTGATAGAAGAGCCAGATCATCCGCGAAGACTAAATCGTCAAGCTGCATCCTGCCTGTCCACTATACCCCGTACATTCCTCCAGATGTTGACGTCTTCATGATCCAGTCGATGACCAGAAGAAAGAGAAAGGGTGAGAGTAAGCAACCTTGCCTAACACCAGTCTTTACCTCGAATGAGTCGGTGAATTGTCCTCCGTGGACGATTTGGCAATTTAGTCCATCATAGAAGTTCCGCATGATATTGACTATCTTCTCAGGCACGCCGTAGTGTCGAAGAAGCTTCCATAGTGTTGTCCTGTCCACGCTATCAAATGCCTTCTCTTAGTCGATGAAGTTGATTGCCTCCTTGATACCTTTCCAGTTGCTCTCCATGGTAGTCCCCTCTCCATTGAGTAGATGATGAAAGGCCTCGAACCTGTTGCTGAGGGTTATGTTGAATTGGTTGAGTTTGTCAGCATCTCGAAGAAAGGCCGTATTAAACTTTTGTGATGTTGTCCGCGCCATTGTCCAGTGTTTCTTGAGTTTAAGTTTCATCTTGGCGACCAGCAAATGATGATCGGATGCTATATCAGCTCCTCTTCTGGTTCTTACATCCTCCATCGTCCTCCTGAACTTTTTGTTGATGCAGATATGGTCGATTTGATTCTGTGTAGTGTGATCCGGTGAAATCCAAGTGGCTTTGTGTATGTTTTTGTGTGGGAATATGGTACCACCTATGACCAGTTTATTGAAGGCACATAGGTTTGCAAATCTCTCACCATTTTCGTTCCTTTCCCCCAGTCCATGTTGTCCCATGACGTCTTCGTATCCAGTGTTGTCCTTTTCAACCTTGGCATTGAAATCTCCCATCAGAATGGTCAGGTCCTTGGTTGGGCACTTCTCGAAGATCGACTGCAGCCTATCGTAGAATTGGTTTTTAGCGTCTTCGTCGTAGTCGTTGGTAGGCGCATAGCATTGGATGACGTTCATTGTAATGCCCTCTCTCTTTGTTTTGAAGGAGGCTTTGATGATCCTTGGTCCATGAGATTCCCATCGAATAAGTGCATTTTGTGCTTTTCTGGACAGCATCAATGCAACTCCTTAAGTATGTGGGGCGTTTTCTTCTTCATGACCGGAGTATAACAGAAGTTCCCCTGAAGACAGTCGTTGTTGTCCAACCTGCGTCCAATGTGTTTCGCTGATTCCAAGAACCTCCAGGTTGTATTTTCTCATTTCTGCAGCAATTTGGAAGACTCTTCCGGTCTCCCACATTGTTCGGACATTCCATGTACCTATAAAAATTGTCGCTTTGGTTGTAAGAAGGTGCATCGGCCTCATGACTTCTGAAAGGAACTCGGCTTTCATCATGAGACGTCATAATTATTCCTTCTACTCTCAGGGCAGAGTTTGGATGGTTTGAATGATTTTTCCTGGTTAGCGTTTTTTTTAGCGAGTTGATTTTCTACGGGATGGGGTCGCTAACCCCATGCCCAACCCTCCTCCTTTACCCGGGCTTGGGACCGGCAGTAACCCCCAGAGGAGCTACAGGCGGAATTTGTACTTTTCTAGTGATCTATATATTGACTGACCTTATGAAACCCACCTCTTTAACACGTATATGTATGTAACTTTCAGGTATATGAAGGAGATGAAAACGAATTTTGGGACGCTCTTCTGCAAGCTAAATCTTCAAATCCAGTTCAAACTGTTGAGACACAGGCATGGCGTTCATGGGATCCGAACCAAAATACAAAACATCCTATGAATATAAACAATACACTCACCGGTGTTAATACTTCCATCATCATTACCACCACTACTACTGCTACAAATACCGACACTAATAGTCAATCACAACAGGGAAGATTATTCACCTCAACTTTTCATTCGAACAGCACATCTTGTGAACCAGCAAAAATGAGTACTCGTAATAAGGCTAACACTGAGTATCATGATTTAAACTTTCCACTTGAAATTGTCAACTCACAAGATAAAAAGCGTCAATTAAAACATCAAATCTCATTACCATTAGATAAATCCCATTTGACATCAGATGCATATGATAAACAATTTGTACTTAAAACTCACCAAACGACCATACAACCTGTATACATGAATTTGGTACATGATAGTGTAGCGAATTCAACCACTAATACTATGAAATGTAATCCTACTGTACATACAAGTGATACCAGTCATACTACTAAGAAATGTGTTGGTAGTATATGTGACGACTCAAAACTTCCGAATTACTTTACACGTATTGTAGATAATAATCATCATAATGATACTGTGAATTACCGACACACTGCAACTAATCCGATTTATTCCAGTGGATTTTTGAATAATGAGTTAAGAGTTGACACTAGTTTTAATTATTATGACAGTAATCATAATAAAGATGATAATTCACAGTTTAATGGGAAAGAAACTGTTAATATCGATAAAACGTTATCGGATTATGATGCATTAATTGATCAAGAAATAGGAGGCTATAAAAATGCAAGGTTAGTTGTATCTTTTGCTAGTTTAGTTCAACATGTATTGTTCCTTTTTGTCATAGTTTCTGGAAAGTTATTTATTTTTGTAGATTAACAGTTTATAAGATAATATCCGTTGAAGTAATGTTGAACTGAACAACGGAATTTTAAATAGTTTTGAAGCTTATAGAATGTTAGTATTTGTTAGGAAGCCTGCCATGAATACAATAAAAGTAAAGAATTGTCCAGAATACATTTGGCCAATCAGCTCCGTCCAGCATATTTTAGTGAGTATTACATCTACAAGTTGATTATTTTTACATGGTATATAATGAAGGGATCTGTCACTTTTCATCCTCATGGAATATGTTACTAACTATCGAGACTCTGTAGCCTCGTTTATTATTGTTTAGAGATAGGTAGTGAGTTTAAGTCTCATCGTCAAAATCAGCGCGAATTCAGGAACATTCACTTGATGAGTGTTAAAGAGAATGAAACCTGCATCCTTACGTTGATTAATAGATTTTCACTCGAGTGATATTTGAACTGTCAGTTTTTAAGACTTGTTCAGCTGGATTTTCGTTGAAGTACCAATAAGTATTTATTGATCATATTGACGAATACTTATGATACGTCAGGGCTTCAGCCAAACCAAAAAAATATCCACCGTTTGATTCTGTTAATAAATGGAATAATAATAAACCACTTGTCATTAAGAAATTAAGATTTCGCATTTAATTATGAACAGGATTTAGAGTGTCTACTATCAACAGGTTCTCAAATTTGAGTGATGAATATCTAAAAACGATTAGTCTTTTCTAGCTTGGCACGTTAACCAGTCACATGTTTATATATTCTAATTTGTTTCAAACTATTTATATGAAAGGTAGTTGTACTACATGACTGGGAGAATGAAAGCAGATGAAACAGGATTCAAACCTGGTCGAAACCATAATGTTTTACTTATTAGATATCTGTGTGATCAAAATAAATAAAAAGATGCAAAACTTAGTACGGAATACAATAAATTATTATTCAACTTTTAAAGTTTTATCATAAGTTTATCTTTCAAAATACGGTTGATCAGATGGAAATTCGGATGCGACGATAAATATTTTTTTCAAAACTCATGATTATCATGTTTCATTGTTAAACTTATTATATCATATCTGATTTTCGTTATGATAGTGGGTTTGAGTCCTAGAGTGAACATCAACTCTGAGATGCAGGTACATCCAGCTGACGAGTCCCAAATAGGACGAAACGCGTGTCCTGGATTCTACTGCTAGCCACTATCCATCTTTGCTTACCATGCTTGTGAATTTAGGCAATACGCACAGTATGAACTTATGCCAATTAGAGAATGACCAGTTGTAGTCTTAAAACATCAATGGGAAGATTCAAATAAACAATACTAAGTGAATTTGAGTTAAGGTTGTAATGAACATAATCTAATAGTTACAAACCAATAAAAATATTGTTTATTCATGATAATATTTACTTGTACAGTTTTTTTTACATTAAATTTACCTTGAAAACAATTTTCGTTAAGGACTGGCATCAGTACAGAAAAATTATTTAAAAACCAGGATATATTGGATAGGTTAGACTAAAAAAACTATTGAATTCCAACCAAATGCCCCTGATATCAATGTCATGCTCATCTAGACAAATAGATATAGAAAAAAATATGAATGTCTTCGAAACTAACTTTTATCTACTTATCTATGATATGAACTACTGAAAAAATCTTAAACTAACACTAAATCACTGTGTAAATATTAATTCTAAACAAAAAAAAAATCAATTAAATTCTAACTTTGAAAATAAAAAAATACCAATGTTTTCGATTTAATATTATTATTATTATTATTATTATTATTATTATTATTATTAGTAGTAGTAGTAGTAGTAGTAGTAGTAGTAGTAGTAGTAGTAGTGGTAATTGTAGTAGTATATACATTAATATTATCATAGTAACTTAGTTCAACCGATTTCAAACTGTCATTTATGCATTATAATATTTTAATTTAATAACATATTTTTGATTGAAGTGCATAAAATACCTCGATAACACTTTTAAACTAAACAACAAGTTACACACTCATACCTATACACTACCACATGTGAATAATAGAAATCCTAGGGGTATATATATATATTCACATGTACTGTATAGACATGATAATTCTAAACTTATCAGTTGTTAATTACTCAATCATATTTATCATTTACATATTTAACTAAACATTTATTAAATAAATAAATATTTTTGGTAACCTTTAGATATTCATTAGATTTGAATGATTTGGCAGCACCTCAAGCAGTTGGACATGTATTTGTTATGAAAGCTACAGCTTATCCTATAGATGAATATAATTTTTCATCGAATCCACCAGTTGATTCTTTAAATAATAATTTCTCTTTAATTTCACTGAAATGTTCAACAACAACATCGACAACAACTACAGTATCAGGAGCATGTCGTGCGAAGTTGATAAATCATGATCAGTTTCTGAAAAAAGACACATCATATCAAGATAATCATGTTTCAGAAACAATAACCACAACGTCAACAATAAATGATGCATGTAAACATAAGAGTAATAACAATACATCCGAACCTATGCATACAATCAATAAACCAAAATTAAGACGTGCATATTCACTGAGAAAACAATCATCATCAACATCTAAACGAACACAACCACATGAAGATTTATTATTGTTTAATGCAAATTGGAATGAGAATAATAATAACACCAACAACAGTTTAGACAATGATGGTAATAATGACAGTTATAATCGTAGGCATGGATTATTGTTTCTAGGGGAAAGTTCAACGTGGTTACGCAATAACATATTGCCTACAGATAAGGTTAGTGAAAAAAATCCTACCATAATTATTATTATTATATGTTTGTTCATTTATTGTTCAAGCGATCATTAGACTTCGGATTTTGAAATCTTTTGATATATTTCCGGTCAAGAGTTTTGTGGAAATTTATATGAAGTGTAGTTGGATTTTATTAAACATTGCTATCAATTTTAAAATTATGGATAACCATAAAAAACTGACAATTATTTTATCCTAGTTTGGAATATCAGCCAACATTTGCGGTGAAAATGATCCAATTAGAATCAAGAAAGTAACCATCAGCTGTTTTGCTAGAAATTTAAAAAGTAATGCTAGCAGATATGTGATTAAGACCTTTGTGGTAAAATATCTGTGTATCGTTTAACGGACGATGACTATGGTATTGCATTATGAGAAATTACACACTATGTTTACAGAATATGAAAACAATAAATTGAATACATCATCCTTGAGTTGTTCTTACAAACTCCATCGTTCTTTTATTCCTACTACTACTTCGATTGCTTTTCTTCTTGTCCCTTTTCTCCTCATTTTTCTCTTCTGTCGGCAATAATCCTATTTCCAGTTCTTCATACATACTACTTGTATCTGTCCATATAAGTGACACACACCACAATAGTAATTAGAATAAATAAGCTGAGTAGAAAAAGGTCTATTACTAACATTATTATCATTAGCTTTATTCAATATTATAGTTTTGGTAAAATACAGAATTCTCAGTACAATGTATTTTAACAGGTTTCCGTTTCTTATTTCTTGATCGATCCTCACGAAAAATATCGAGTGATCGTCAGTTAGATGTTAACAGTTCAGTCAATCGACATCTAAATAATATGCATTCTTTTCGCTGCATATCGCTAGCAACCACGGTATCTCTAATCTGGCCTTTGCAACTTGTACACTTTTCAGAAACGCACCTGAATAGGTTATGCGATTCATAGCCATAATAATGTATTAAAACAAACAAAATTTGATGACTTGTTGAAATATTTAGATAGCAGGAACAAATAGCCCAGATGTTCAAGTAGGCCGCCGTCTACTGTTCATTCATACAATAAAAGGATATACGAAACGAAAGGAAACTCAAAAGTTGCGCCTACCCCATCTGGCACAGATCCTCTCCAAAATATATTCTAACAAATCTGAATTTATCTCTTGCCCGTTCAAAATAATTTTAGCAACTAAACCATGCCATTACAGATGTAATGAATATAATAAACACTATTGTGCCATATAAATGATTGACAGGATTTGGATTTTGACTTACATGGTTCCTAAATCGTGATCCCAGAAATTCACTTGGATATTTGACTAGCCTTTGTAAAAACGTTATAAAAACTGTGAGAAATATTTTCTGGGAATATAGAAGAGTCTATGGCCTTATAAAGATCTCAATTAAAACTTCTTACTTGAATCAAGATGACTCTGTAAAGCAAAATTGTTTGCTGAAAGATATAGAAAATCGATCATAAACCTTTAAAAGATTAGTAATCTATTTAGAGCGATCATGCTCTCTAAATCTATTACTTTTGTGTTAACAAGTTCTCGATATTCACGGTTTTTTTACCTACTGGCTTAATGAAGTTGTGATCATTACTGGAGCGATTGAAATTTTTCATTAAACTTCATGGATCAAAACCTGGACCTATAGGTTGTGCGGAAGAAAACGCTACTTTTAAAACTTGAATAGGAATTCAGTGACATCCATTTCCAGATTCAATCAACTTGCGATATTATGTAATGATCAACCAATACCATTATTAAGTAATTGCTTCACCACTGACATTGTTTAATTCAACCAACCATGACTACTCATGAATTCTCAGCGCTACGGAGAAGAACCATACGAGGATGAAACAGTTGTTCAATATTTCTTAATTCCTATCCGTTCTTCAATTGACATCGATTAGTGGACATCATACTAACGTATGCTCAAAAATTAAGTTGGTTAGTTAATGAAAACGGTGTAAGGTTGGAATTTCGATCGTTCAAATATCAATAATAAAATTCGATATTATCATTATCATACAGAACAATAGCCTGGACCGTTGTTTTGGAAAATTGGCATATTTTGTGTTATAATTGTATTTTGCTATATAAACGACCCAGCTATTCCTTTTGCTTAGTATTCTTATACGATGACACTCGACAAGACCCCAAAATCAGAACACGTTGAACAGGAATGAAATTGTATTCAAAATAATAATAATAAGTGAACAGCAATCACTAGTTTAAATAACGTTCATATATTTATAGTATATACATAAGAAGCTTCTAGATTTTTCTCCAATAATATGCCCGGGCTGATCGGTTTAGAATTAGTCAATCAACGCACAGCAACACCATCATGCATAAAACATGCTTTAATCCAATCTATGTCCCACTAACATTTTGGAAAAGAAAAAAGTCCAGGGACCGCTTTTCCGATCGACTTCTATCTACATGATTTATAAAACCCGACATACTACTAAAATAAAATCAGTCACTACAGCTATTCAACGGGATATTTTGTTGGTCGTTGAGAAGAATGAGATATTTGTTATTGATGGGAGTAGATGATGGCCATACAATATTGTGAATCGACGGAATGTTAAAAATATGTATCATTCCGTCCTTAGCACCTGAAAGGTAATAAACAAGTAACGAAGTCTGTGGGTCTCGAGTTCCATTTGTGGTAATGTCGTGGATGGAATTTCATTATAAGAAAAGTCAGATATCCTCTATCACAATCCAGCTGAATGAAATCTTTTTTGAGAATTCATTTTTATGTTGTACAACTACCAAATAATAACGATGATAAAAGGAGGACGGGATTTATTCGCAATTGTTTGTTATGATCATGTTCATCCCAACCTATCATGCCAAATGAAAAATACAAATATTTTAAAATCTCTGATTTAACATGAAAATAACACTTTATTATACTGTGCTGACCTACTAAATGAACGGAGAAATGGCAAAACGTTCTAGGTGTGATTCGTTTTCTGAACATTGAAGACGTTGTAGATGATCTGAACTAGCAAATCATTTGAAAAGTTGTTTGACTGTCTTCACTGTTGATGTAAGGCGATTATCCATAGATGATACGGAATAATGGATGAACCTTATTGAGAATTAATTCAGATTAAATTATTTGCACCATTGGTTAAGGATTCTAAATGTTAGGTTACCTACAGTATAAAATACGACCAATCATAATTTAAAAAAGTAAAACTCGAAAAAATAGGTTCATTTAAAACAAATGATATCAGTATAAAAGACGATGAACAAATTATCTGATTATTATTTGTCTTCAATATTCTAACTATTCAACGCCAACAACATAAGCTAACATGATATTTAGTGAGAATATGTACACAAGACTACTGTAAGGCTAATTCAATAGTATGACAACTTATGAAACAAATTTTCGGAGGCGTTTTTATACCAAAAGACTCACATTAAATATAGGTATGGAAAGGTTTGAATGGAAATCCAGCACAACACTGACAGTAAAACATAAATGGAACAAAATTTTTATGGAAGTAAATTTAAGCACAATACTCTGAACAAATTTGGTAAATTGTTTTTGGTGGAGTTTCGTTGTCTAAGCTGGATGGTTTAGTCATGAAGCTTTTACTGTCTTTCTGGACGGCATCATCAGCATAAATTTTATGTAAAGATAAGCCATTCGAATCTCCCCACATGTGGATGACAGCTTATACCTTCGACTTTGAACTTTATTAGTTGCTGTTGACTTTTGTCCTGTCATTGTTGACAGATTTGTTCCGATCATCTTCCCCTTCGACCTGATTCCTAATCTTGTAATTGTTCATGATTTTTCTAACTAGTTGGTGATTTGGGTAGATTTTGATATGTTAATTGACTTCTAATAAGCTCCAAGAAATCCTCTGGTCTTCTTTGCCTTTCGTCTGTTCGAAATCTCAACATTTTCACAGTCCAACGTATGTCTACAATGGTTCATGTCTATTAATACCAGCAAAGCTACATAAAAGCATTTGATAAATTGTCGATTTTTATCTTGCTTCGTCAGAATGAGATATTGAAAGGGATCTTACTCTTTGCTTCATGTCTATGAGTTGAGTAATGCATTTATATTATTAAAAAGTTTATATGCGTTGATTAATAATAAGCTAGTGGTTGAATTCCTCAATTTTTAGCCAGTAAGTTACACATTCGACTTCCAAACCCTCTTGTTTAGACAACTGAGTAGCGTCGTTAATTTTGAGGACAATTCTTACCAGAAAGTTGACAGCGTAACCTTTTATGTAATGAAAATTTATATTACACATGAAATCATATTTGTATAGGTCGTCGACTGAAACCATGTGTTCTTTTAATAAGCGAGATAATTTTTATGTTGATAGTCTCAAAGAGATATAAGACTAAACAATTTCTGACTACTCAACCTATATATTGATACTGTAATAAATCCTAACAGCCTAGTTTTACTTTTTATGTCACCTGTACTTTAATTGAATGTGAGTTCAATTTATTTTCGGCTATTCAGCGTACTTATTAACCTTTAGTGTGGTAGAAAGTCACTAATTTCGTGGACTGATGGTATAAATTAATAAACAAATTTGTTTATCATAATGATTGATGCCCAACAGTTGGATTATTCAATCAGTGAAAATGAAGAATTCGACAAATCTGACCTTAATGATTATCATCTCAGGTTGTTACACTATATCATTGCTGTGACAGGAAGGTAATGATCTGAAAGTTGGACGAGTTAAAACTATAATAACATCAATGTTAGAAGGTAAACATAGATAATATGGTTTGTAAGTATTTGTGTCTTGTCGTTGTTGATGTTGAGGGCTGTAATTGATCAGTCTCCTTCGATAATTTATGAATCTTGTGCTAATTGCCTTGATACTGAAGTTTGATCACAAGTTTTTAGTTGAAGCTAGATATTTGCTAGCAGTGGGATACAGGACAAAAAAGACTGATCAACTGCTGTCCTTAACATCAGCAACAGGAAAGCAAAAACACTTACAAATTAAATTCATTCCTATTGGCGTTGACTATCTGAATTTAGCAGCTCATTGGATAACGCGTTGGGCGTTTGAAGCGAAAAGCATTGAGTCTGAAGTTTAGTGTGATCAACAACACCGAAATACAGTCACATGCAGATAATAAATCCAAATTAGGACGGAACGCATATCCTGGATTTCACTGCTAGTCAACATCCAGATCTAACGAAATGGAGAATATAGTTAGAAACGGGAAATGAAATCGAGAAGTAAGATGTATAAGAGATAGAATCTAAACTTAAGATCTGGAGGGAGATTACCAAGGAATACCCTTAACCTACTACAGTATATCTCTAATTATAACACCTAACCTTTAATGGACTCTAATCAGGAGTTGTCCTCCTGCCAACATGACTCAGTTTGAAGTTTAGCGGCTTTATATTTAGAAGAGGAAAAACATCAAAAGCATTCTTGAAGTTTTACTCATGTTGTTTAGTACACGTTGTACTTTGCCAGCTTTAGTAGCAAAGAGTACTAGTCTGCCTTATCTGACTTCAATGGAAGATAGTCGTAAACCGTGGTGAGTTGGGATTTGATTTACGATAAAGCTTAGTGTTAATCAAAGTAGATCACTGAGTGACTATCCCAAGTTATCTAAGCTAGATCACCATTGAAGAACTGGGGTTACTGGATAACCGTTTAGTTCTAGTATGGAACTCCTTAACAATGCGCATCCACGACCTCACACCCGGGACTCGAACCAAGGACCTTCAACCTCGCGCGCAAACGCTTAACTACTAGACCACTGATCCGGCATCCAACGGTGTTAATGTCGAATTTCAAGATCATGGATTAACTTAGATCGACGCGTGAATTCAACTGTTAAAACACTACAAACTCCACAAATCCTCATACTGTAATACTTATTTCATTTATTTTAAATATTTAAATTCATCTACCATGTGATCATTTATGAATATTCTGTATAAAAAAATCATCTCAGTTGGAGGTAAACACCTTCACTGTGGGTAAAGTTTTGTCTGTGTGCTGATTTTCGCTATTCTATGTATTTCCTTCCCTCTCTCTCTCATCTCCATTTTTTTAGATTGAGAAAATTACTAGAATGTATGATGAAAACGAAGCGAATACAACACATAAACAGAAAGCAGTTAAAACAATTTCCGACAATAATCATCGACCTACTCATTCATCATCACCACCGTTATCATCAAAAGTAGTGATACATAAACTGGATGAATTAAAAAATGATAAATCCACCTATAAACCAGTTACTAATATTATTTATTCAAAAACAATAAATAGTCAAAGTAATCATCATTCAGACTTAGAGACTTCAGATGGTACTGACACATTTGTAAGTCATTATAATAATTCCAAGAAATATGGTATACCACATGAGGATCATGCAATTTGCTTTGAAACTGATATGGGATTAGACAAACATTATTTCCAAGATATTGAACAAAATTCAAGTGAGTTAACATATATTTAATTATTTCTTTGTAAATAAATCTTCTATGAGAAAAACGGAAATGTAATATTTAAATTCTATAAATAAAACTGATTGAATCAATTAAATCAATTGAGATTTTGAATTTATCGACTAGTAAGTCTGTTTGTTTATTTAATTATCTAACTTAATGAATAAATGTTTGATTGATTTACCAACAACTTTGTGTAACCAGGTCAAATATTGTTACAATGATTTAAGTGATCCGTAAAAATTAATGTATTTCGAAGAATATTTTTACTATGATTTGATGTTATCTAAAGTACTGCTGGAGACCATACAAGATCTTAACAATGTTATTACAAACTTCTTAGTAGAATCTTTCTACAGTCTCGTAAACTCTTGTAACATTAAATTTCATTTCAGTGGTCTGAAAGTATTATGCTTACTAAAGAGCCTGGATGCTTTCGATTCAATCTGGTATAGAGTCTTAGATGTATACTAATGAATTCAAATCGAAGAGAGGACGACTATTCATTAACATATTGTCTCAATAGTTTTTTGAGATGATAGAACTTCATAGCGAAAGGTATTTGCAGAATATATATGTCAGCTCGTTATCGTGTTTCTAGATCGTGGCCGAAAAACGATTGAGACATTACATCTTCGTGTTCGTGAACACCTTACTGAGTGACTGAGTGAGGATGTAGTCAATACAGTAAACATCTCACTACTAGCTGATTAAGTGCAAGCTGATCATCGCCCGAGTATAAGTCAATCTTTTTCAACAATTTATCGGACTAGTAATTCTTTACCAAAGTCAGTCCGACTCAAAGTCGTCCAAACGTTAAAAGCAATAGCCATTCAGATTATAAAGCTGAAACTGTGTGTACAAAAGAAATATATCAAGCGCTTCTCTTACCTCGGCCAGCCCCAGGGCCGATAAATCAATAGTAATCTTAACTATAGAAAGACCTCATTTGACTAATGTACGTAAAACATTTCTTAGTCAAATATTATTGTCTTTCTTATTTTTATTCACACATCTTTGTATTTAATAATTATTGGTTAAACATCACTATTATTCTTCCGAACACATGATTAATTCAGTAACCATCTACCCCACTTTATCATTCCTTGCTGAATTCATATGATTTCAAACATGATATGGTCATCCACCAAACAGTTAATCGAATTTGGAATTGCATTATCATTACTCTCACCTTAGCTGATCCATATTTATTCTAATCATTCATCTCATATAATGTATTAATTTACTCAGGCCGACACATCATATTGGTCATTTCAACATTAACAATTTTATTTTATTTTACGGGTAATCCCAAGTTCACATGCTATAATTTTAAATAAAGTATTCGCCTGAATATATATATATATATATATATATATATATATATATATATATATAAACACTAAAATATTAGAATGTTGTAAATGATAGGCGAATCAACACATTGAGTAGTTGGCTGTCACTTTGATTATCTTGTTTTAATTACCTGCTTGGCATTTTTTTAGCAAGACTTTTTCTACGAGATGGGGTTGCCAACCTCATGCCTAACCCTCCTCCTTTACGTAGACTTGGGATCGGCAGTAACTCTAGAAGTACTACAGGTGGAGTTTTGTTTTAATTACTTTAACTAATGTATTCTCATCTGTTATCCTAATTTACATAAACTTACGTGTTTCGAACTGAAACGTTATGCTATTCTGACATACTTGCTTCAATAGCTTTTTCATTTCCAAAAAGAAATCATACATTTAGTTAAATAGAAACATAATATATTGCTCAATTTAGTTATATAAGACAAATTATACTGTCATATCATATGCATTACAGTGTTAGGCAATCGATCTAGATCTATTCATTTTATTGTTTTGATCGTGTTACATCATCTGTTCTAATAAATTTAATTTAGTGAAAAATGAATTTGTTATGCTAGCCGACAAATTTTGAGAGTATTTTAAACTTTGATGTTTATTTAAGTGGTAACACATGATTTGAGCAGCCATTTTGATTATTTCATCTTTTGATCCTAGCATTATTTATGATTATCTTAAACTGTTTAATTAATTGAATAAAGTCATCCAACCATATGTGTAAATGATTACATAGTATTTTACATAATCGTTGTCACTGGAATCTAGAAGTCACGGTCTGTTCTCAGTTGGGATATTCTTTTTTCCTACTGTTAATGTTTTCATTAAGGAACGAAACCACAACCTTTGATTATACTTTCCATAATGTTCTTTGTTCACTATGATAATCAGCAACGGTAGGCCCTGACCAGTTCAATAGGTATGATATTTAGATAATGACCAATATCCAGTTTGTAAATCAAGACTACGTCCTGACAAATATCGAAGAAAGTCATGCACTAGTAGAGACAAACTAGTGGAATTTAGCACTGACGAAGAACAATAGGAAAATGTAAACTTTTACAGTTTATTTTTAGATTATCTTTTTAAGTGACTTTTCAAGTTTTTAAAATTCTCTATGCCATTATCTCTATTAAAGAACATTAAGTACTGAACTATAATATTCTAATGTTGTAGACTGGATAAGATAAATATGACTTCTATATATTAAGACTGAAATTGAACGCTATCAACAGTTACTTGACATTTGTGAAGCCATTTTGTTGACTTTAAGGAAAAATTTCCATAAACGTAACATCATCAATACTATTTAATTAATTCTACTCATAACACTTTTAAAAAATCACCTTTCAACTGAAGAAATCATTCGGATAAATTGAGGCATTAAATACTTTGTTTTATCTGTGTTTGGTATTCTAACTTTTGTTCATTGTTCACACAGATGTGCCCGCTTCAAAATAACGAAGCTAATGGTAAAACGAATATCTCGTTCATGATGTTGAAATAAAACAAACCTCAAAAATAAGATGTTTAACTATGATTAATTAAAATATTTACCACATTTTCTTTTAAAATCTCTTAATCATCTGAAGAGAAAAGTATTTAGAGGGGTTTAAAAATAAAAATAATCTTTTGAGAACTGTTATGATGGAGTTTTGTTCTCTGAGCTGGATGGTCTGGTCGGGAAGCTTTCACTTTTCTTCTGAACGACATCATCATCACAGACCTCGGATAGAAGTGAAGTGTTAGAATTTCTCCACATGTGGTTCACAGCTTGTCTTGTACACCTCAATGTGAACCACATGTGGAGAGATTCGAACACTTCACTTCTACCCGAGGTCTGTGCTGCTCATGTCGTTCAGAAAAAGGATGAAAGCTTCACAACCAGACCATCCAGCTCAGAAAACGAAATTCCACTAAAATCATCCACCTAAGCTACAGATCTTCTCCACCATCTCAAAAGAACTGTTATGAATAAGTCAAATTATGCAAGTTTTCTGATTTAATTGGATTCTGAAGATATCGGAGATCATATGTAACTAATGATCAAATGTCTGAATAGATTATTCATATTAGACACTATTTTTATTTACACATCAGCTGCTAAACAATAGTTGTTTAGACATAATATCAATAAAAATAAATTAAGAATTATTGATTCTTTATTCATAAATTATTTTCTATCCCACATATATAGAACTAAACAAATTAACCACGTCAACGGCTATAACAATGACGAATATGACAACAACAGCACCGATATTAGAAGCTGTAACAAAACCAGTTATTTCTGAATGTCCAACATTAACTTTGTTGTCTGCTCCAAGGATATCACAGCCTCATGAGATTTATCAAAGTGAACAAGATATTTGGGATAAAAGTACAAACAATCGACAACAACAACAAAATAATAATCAACACCCTTACCGCCATCAAATATCATCAGATTCTCAACAAAAATGTTTAAAGCTTGAATCTAATACATCATCACCTGGAGCTAGTAGTCGAGCTAGTACTGTATTTTGTCCACCATGGGATACTGCCCCAATTGGTCCATATATTGCAGATTTATTAAAATTAAACCCACCATTCTCATCAACTCTTGATGATTTACAACAATCTCCTAATACTTATCAATCTAACCATCATAATCATCATCATTATAATTGCAATAATCTTAATAATAGTAAAATTCATTCACAATCAGGGAATACACATTATCAACGTAAATATTCTGCACGTAATCGTAGTAAAACATTGTCTAGTGTTGAACATCAATTATTGATTGGAAATTTACTTACAGACTGCAATAATAATTATTGTACTTCGTCTACTGTGGCAGGGACAGCAACTACTACTGATAATTCAGTAACTTCACCTTCATCACTATTAAATAATAATAATAATAAAATTGATATGTCTAATCTTTCCAGTCTGTGGGAACAACAACAAAATCAGTCGAACAATGGAAAATTGAAAGAATTCTCATCAACATCACTAGGAAACATGAATGAGTTTTTTAAAAGTTTACAGAATGACTTTTTAACTGAAACAACAACCACAGTATTGGAAGCATCAACGACGACACCGACGATGACAGCAGCAGCAACAACAAAATCGTTAATAATGAAGGATAATAGTGAGAAATTGTCACCACCACTTCCAGTGAGAAGTAAACGTGGACTAAATGATCCTAATTCATTTGTTAATGTATCAAGAACTAATTTATTAGATTACAAATTACATTCATTTATTGATTTTACAGATGATATCAGTGTAAGTTGAATTGAATTAATTCATTTAGAAAGTGGATGATATCATGTATGGAAATGTAGTTTATTTCAAGTTTTATTTAACCATATGAATAATTATGAATTATTGAAGGTGGTTATTTATACAGTTATTAATAGTGAATACTGTCCTAGGATTAAAGAGAGAAAAAGATGCCATCAGTATTGAGATACTGGACAGCCGTTTCTTCCTAGTTGGGTAATCCTCAGCAATGCAGATCCACAATCGGCCGTCCAGTGCTTTCAGGTTTTCACTGGTGGTCTATCTTGGATCGACTTGTGAATTAAACCATGAAAAAAGATATATTGAATAGTTTGTCTGTTAGCATGTATTTAAAATAGATTTATAGTCAGGACAAAAAATATGACAAGATTGTCATTATAATTCCATTTAAAGAGATTTCTTTGTGTTTTATATTATGAAAGAACGTTAGTTGAGAATCCCATAATCATAGTGAAATTGATATGTTATATAATATCAGTTTGAATCTGGTTTCTATTGAAATTAGCTTTCACATTCATAAAAATAGGTTCTCTCTTTCATTAATATTTTTCTATGTAATAATTAAAGAAGCATCACTGAATTGCACTAGTGAGACGAAAATAGTTGAATTGTTACAGGTAGATTCTTCTAACTAACAATTAGTCGTATCCATTTTAACGAAGAATAAGGATCGTTTAGTTAGAAGAAAGCGTTCAAAAGTATTGATCAGTAAATTGTGTACTGTGAGTTGAATATGTGAATAATTGGAAAATTATTGTTAAGTTTTCAATACTGAGGACTAGCTATTAGATAAGTGGGTTATGTGTTTTATTTCTGTCTTTTACTCTGAGTGGTAGAAATTGAACATTTCACTGGACTCATAGTTCATTTCATAAGTTAAGTACACGTACACTTTCTTTTTTTGGAATGCTTATTAGTAACAATAATTGTTTCGTTAGGTCAGAGTAGACGCTGTTGGCTTTAATCAGTGATACTATTGTTTATCCTTGATAGTTTAAACCATGAATTGACAATCACAAACCACAGGAGAATTTCCAACTTATAAATAAATTGAAATACCATGGCGTATTTCAAGAAAACTAGCTACATGCCTTAAGCTTAAACCTTCCAAATCTTATGACAAACAAATCTTACAGTTAGGTTCAAGTTCAAGTAAAAAATCATGTGAACAGTTAACTCGTGATCTGCAAATTTCATGAGTATGTACCTTTGAAGAAAATTAACTGAGATTAATATTAACAGGTATTTGGAAAAGAATGTTCAAGTGAACGAACAATTTTCAATGTAATTATTAAATCATCATTTTGATTAACAGTACATCTTTTTTTCCCCATTAACATATTTCGATGATTGTACAGCATGCAGTAAATTCATTAAGTGCTTCTAAAATGGTTAACTGATCGACAGATTATTGGTACGAAAGTGGTACGTTAGTCTAACTTGAAAGAATCCCTGAATCGTGATACTAATAGTATCAAAGAATCACAAACGAAAAACAGAGTGGAACTATTTAAAGAGATTTTAAGCAAAAAATCACGTATAGCTGCCTTATTGTTATCCACAGGTTCAAAAATACAGTACTGGTTGTATCTGAGATAAATTTTATTGGTCTGACCAACCATGTCGTTCAATCAGCTTAAAATTTGCTATAATCTAAATAAGTGTCGACAGTAGTTGGTCACATTTCATAAATAATATCATTAATTTCTTTAGGATAGACGAGTAGTTTGATTTAAGTAGATATGCTGACCGAATTTCATTATAAAACTAAATTTATTCAAGTGTAATAACGTCTTTCAATATTTTATAGTTGGTTTTGTAATTTTTACTTAAAAATTTTGTTAACTTCAAATAATTGACAGCGTGAACGTGAAATTAATGTACTTTAAATCTAACAGGTGAAGAGCAACACTTTTAAAGAATTTTAAAAGAAAAAAGGTCATCACTTTGAACAGAGTTTTCATCATAAGTTGATATAAAGTAGAGGAATTATTAAGACATCAGGAAACATTATATAAATATAATAATAATAAATATAAACTTGGATTAATATTAATTTGGTTATTTATTCTCTGAAGAAGTGGCTTACACTGAGTCACGAAACGTCAGAAAATCTAATTTTTCTACTCATTGGGATATTATAAATATATGAATTTATTTATAACAATCTACCCAATGCTCAATTTATTCAAAATTATCAAATCAAGTCTTGGTAATGATACCTACATATTATATAAATAGTTCATCCTTGTTTAATAATATTTTACATTTATAAATGTATACAAAATGGGACTGTTGACATTGAAATCTTGTATCAAGCATGATACTCTAAGGTCAATGAAACATACTGTTTTGATTCATTTTTTTCCATTTCAGTTCATTAATGATAGATACCCTTTTTATGACTATTATCACTTAATAAGATGATTATTTAACTATTCAATTGTACATTGAGAAAATATTTTCTGTAATCACTTTAAATTTGTACTTTTTTAAATTTAGCCGTACGCTGTAACCGCCTGTCATCCATTGAATTGTAATGATAACAATAATAACAATACCAGTACTGATTTATTACAAGCAACTCGTGATTGTAACAATTCAGCACACGATTGTTCATGTATGACATTAAGTGAATTACAAACTTATTCGTCTCATACAGCAAGACCGTTGAATATTCGTCGTAATGATACGAGTTACAATATTCAAAGTAAACTTCGTGATGATAATAATAATGTTAATAAAAATGAAGATGACAGAAGCAATATGAACATCAATGCTACTACTAATACTACCAGTAATGGTGTCACAATTGATAATCACAATACCAATCACAGTGTAACTAATAATGCGGATAGTACTACTATCGAAGAGTTGATACCGTATGATTATTCCTTGTCAAATAAATCTGTACCTTTAGATTTCTCCCAGAATCCGTTTAATAGTTCATTGGATAATAGTACAAGCCATGGTAAAATATGGCCAGATAATTATGTTTGTAAGTTGAATTGAGTTTTTTTTTTCATTAATAAAAAACTGATTTTATTACAGTTGTAATAATGATTTTTCACTATCAGTGTTAACCTTATTAGTAATCTATGTGCTTCAACTTAAGATACAAAAGTGGTGTGGAGACAGCCACTTCTTTTACAGTAGTTCATTAGTTAAACAATGGTGTCTTAACCTCAATATCTTGATATCATGAGTTAAATATTATACAATGAAAAAAGTGTGCACTTCAAAAGAATCTTAATACAAGATAAAGTAAAATATGTCGATCAATAAGCGTTTCAAGTGAAGTGACTCAGGATTTTATAGACATATATCCAGGGAGAAATATCACGGGTTCGTTACAAATAGATATGAGTCAAGCGACTTGTCGCTACCATTTTAATCACTCGATATTAGTTAATAATTGGAAATGGGACGGATTTATCTAGATAAACTTTCAGAATGTCTTATAAATTTAATGGATTAAATAGTACAAGTAAGTATTGATTCATCATGTAAAACACCATAGTGACTATCTACATATATTCAATGACTAGTTTGAAAGTATTCTTGATATTTTATATAATTCTTTCAAGAATTTTCGAAATGATTAGATTACAAGTTAGAAAGATAATTGTTATATCTTAGTGAAGACATAAGTACTGATAATTTCCGGGACCTATTAATGGACTATTATCCTATATATATTCTTATTGTCTAACTATTGAGTAATTAGATTGTGCATATCTATATTCACCTTATTATAAGCTTTATTTTGACCTATGAATTATTACTGTACGATTTACTGTCCTTAAATTATATTCAGTTTATTGATTATTGTCTCCAACGTTCACAGCCACATTTAGCTTGGTCTTGTGCAAATACTATTTTCTATTTTATGGTGTAATGAAGTCTGTCTGTCTGTCTAGTATATAAACCGAGTATGCTTGGAATAAAAGATTCACATAGTGAAGCTGTTATCGGTGTTCTGGACTCCATTGGAAGGGCTAGGCGGATAAAGGACTAATAGGGACGCTAGACTGCTCATACAGGTCGAATGTCATTGATTTGGTACAGTGCTAAGATTAAACAAGTCGTATTTTGATTGGTGAATAAATCGCGTGATAAAAAACGAGGCATAAAATCATAACAAATTGGAGACGGCCTTTTTAAATTCATAACAATAATAAGCAAATTTTTATTCATAACGTTTCCAAAGAAAAACAATGTTCATCAAATATTGATAATTGACATAGCTACTAATAAATATACTTGATTAAAGTAAATTCAATAAATTATTATTCTGAGAAATTAATTGAATTTTTAACAGAACTTATGTAGCTTATCGTGTAAAATCAATTTGAGTTCAATATTAAAGAATTTGTTATATAATTCATGAATAATTGGATACATTGAAAGACTAATTATTATCAGAAGGGTTTTTTATGGCGATTTCAGTATTTGCACAGTTAAAATCATGAGCCAATTGAAGTTAGACCACCATGGAAAACCTAGAAGCACTGGACGGCCGTTTCGTCCTATTATGGGACTCCAGCAGTGCGCATCCACGATCCCGCACTCGCGAGATTTGAACCCAGGACCTACCAGCCTCGAGCCAGATCACTTAACCGATTGACAACTGAGATTAATTATTAATCTTTAATACATTCTACTTATTTTGTAAAAGGATGTATTTTTATGATGTTCTATTATTATTATTATTATTATTAGATTCCTTATTATTCATTATCGAAATATAAGTTACATGATGTACATTGTATCCAAAAGTTGTTCAGTTACCTTACTAGATAAGTAAAAAGATTTATATCACAGGAAATGAAATTTATGATATGCAAATTATTTTAAAGAGTTACTTGATTAGTTGTTTACAAAAAATACAAAAACAAATTGACTTTTAGAAGTTGTATATGGTGGATTAAAAGAAACTGATAATTAACTATTCCTTTACATTTCTTTTATTAGAATAGCATTGTATTATTCATTATCGTCTTCACAAATATCGAATTCATCACTTGTATATACAATTTCTTTATTCTGTAATTTACTATAAGTATCAAAATCTTGCTTGTATTGTTCTTTTTCATGGTAATCCTCTTCATAAATATCTTCTTCGATAATTTCATCATCACTATCTGATCTGTCTCTTCCGTATTCATACCATTTTTCTTTATAATCATAGTCATCAGTAATATCGTGTTGATTCGTTTGGTTATGAATGCCGAAAGAATTATTATCAACTAGTTTATGATAAACTCTTACATGTTTGAATTTCCTGGTGATTTTGTAAACAGTTGCATTGTATTCGTCACTATCATCAGTTAAACTTTCGGAATGATCTGGACTGTCATATGTGGAATCACTGAACCTCTCCTTATTGTCAAGTTCATTGTAATGAGTTTTTTGAAATAATTTATTTCGATCTATCATAAGAAGACGATAAGTCCAATTACCAATGGTTAAAGTAGGTATATGATTGGAATCATAATAAGAATGATGCATTAGGTTCAATAATTTATCAAGATATCGATTGGTCGTCGGATCAATGCTATCATAATCACTTTCGAACCCATCAGCATTAATATTATTATTACTGGTACCAGCTCTACGTCGCTTTCGGCGTCTCATAGTTTTTAAAAGATAATAATCACTTTTTTCCAAATTAAATCCACAATCTTTAACATGATTATTACACATTTCGTCATTTGTAAAATTATCTTTTTCATAAACTGTAATTTGTATAACCTGAGATTTCTCAATTGGTAAGAATTTACTCATTGCCATTATGATCTATACAATATATTTCTCATCACCAGCAATATAACCTTTTTATTCTTCCTGTGTATCGACGCTAACCTTTGTACACTGATGTTTATATAATCATCATCATGACTATTAACATTGTCAAAAACAATAATCGATTACTGGTTTAAATATTATAAATTATATGGTAATTTCCAGTGTGATTGGTTAACTTGTTGACCATGTTCATATGACTATAGTAATTACATGAATTAACTTTAAAAAACTGTGCTGCTATAAATGGAAATAACATTAACAAAATGTTGCATTGGATTTTACAAACATATTTGTTTACATATTGTTTATGAGTAAAGAACATTTGGAAAGTCATGTGTTGAGATCATCATTTTGTATACTTGTAGGTTTTTAGTATTGACGAAAATCATTTTCATAGTACCTATTATGTTCGACGTCAGGGTTGACATACCTAAATAATATTTTATTTCATTAAGGGAAAACAACTATTGGGTACGTTTGGATAAATAGAGTAAAATTATAAACGACGCAAATACTCGAAATGTGTTATTTACTTTTGATTTGGTGCAGATTAATGTTTTGTTATTTACTTCGTAGGAAATGTAACAGTTTGACATGTATTTACTCGATTAGTTTTATTGATCCTTATTAAGTGATCTTTGAATACATTTTGACAATTAGACAGAATATTAATTATTTGGTGGAAAAATAGCTTAGTCGTTATAACATTCTGCTTCTAATCCTGAGGTCTGACGCTTGAGAACTGCTCTATCGATTTCGGTTTGGACAGCCAGGTATTGACACTAGCTCCAGTGACCTTAGTTCACGATTCAAAGTCCAATAACCAAACTTGTTTATAAGACTTATAATAGACAAGTTTTGGCTAGTTTGGTGGATACTTTTTATTTCACATCAAATATGGATGATGTCAACGAAAGTAGGATAGAGTAAAACACTAAGGATATTTAAATCCAAGTAATTTAGAATGATCAGACGGCTATTTTCAAGGTGAGGTGTCGAGTTGAAACTTTTATTTTGAAGAAACAAAATTTACTGAAGACAAGTATTGATCAAGATACTTGTAACTGGAGTTTCATATGCTCAGACACCGTTTAAGTTAGCATGCATTAATAATTGAGAAGGGGAAAAGTAGCGAAAAACAGCCTATGTCAGTTTGGATCGAGAAATATTATTGATCTATGAAACCCACTGATTGCTAATTTAATTTCTGTGATGGAATTTTATTGAAGAGATATTCATACTGTCAGAGAACAGATAGATAAGGCAAAATAACCTGAAAGTGTTTCGTAACCATACTAGTGTTACTGCATTTCTAAACAATTCTGTATGTATGCTCTTAGTTTTACGCTAGAATGCTCATACACTGAATTTAGAAATATTCACAGTATTTAATACATGTTCATCACCTGTAATTCTTTCATACTTACTACTCATTTCGTGAATCTTCTTTTATGAGCAGTCTCCCGATATTATTCTAAAATGTACGTCAGCTAGTTTTTAAAGATTATTAATATTACGTTATGATTGTATGGAGTTGAAGAAAAACCATGAATTAAAATAAATTTATGTTATTCCACTGAGTTTGTGTTTGCTTTAGTCATTTTATTTACATTCTTCAATTCACATTGACTGTTTACTTTGTTTTATCCCCTATTCAAATTATTGTATCTATTCATTCACCTATATCATAGATGCAATAGAAATTTCAATGAATTTTTCTGTGTTTATTTGATATTGTCCACCCGATGATTTCTGCAGATTTTATTGACAAGGCTGAAAAATTCAATGAACAATTAGCTACAACCAAATAGGGTCACATGGTAAAAATTACTACAGGGGCTCGCCTGGCTGTAAACATTTGTGATAAAAGATAAATGGCAATTAATCATTGTTAAAAATTGCATCTTTTCCAAAGGAAATTTAAATTTTACATATTCATAAGTTCATTGGATGTAAAACAGAAAGTTGTTGCTACACTGCCTATATTGTTTTCAAGATTTTGGACTATAATTAAACTGAATGCTATTACTACCATTATTGTTGAAATATCTTAGACAATAATAAAAACGAATTAGAAAGTAAGCTGTCCTTCTGAACTGATATGAATCAACCACTTGAATCATTACTATTTACATCAGTTATTAACTTACTGATTGACTAAGGTCAGGAATGAAGAGAATGTCTAACAAACGTAAGTAAGCTAACATTTTTGTAGATGATTTACAGAATTATTCACATTTTAATATGGTTATGACGTGGGGGGATTTTAAATATTTGTTCAGTTTCTTGGCCGTGTTCGTCGCGTATTGATATCCGTTGGGTTACTGACTAAAATCAATGAGAACTGGGTGTTTATTTTTTCCCGGGTATCTAACTCTTTAGAAATGCACACTTAAGACCATGCTAAGGTCTGGAATCAGAATCCTCAGGTCTCAGCTCAATGAAATTTAAATTCGTGACGAACTCTGCCAACTTTTTAGTGTACATACAATTGTCATTACTTTATAACCAATCTTTCTAAAAAATTGTTTTAATTCTAAACTGTAGATGCTCAAGTACTACCAAAACATTTACGTGATCAAGGTCAATTCACTGACATCAATTCATTTGATCATACAATTACATTTCAGTCAGATCCATTCAATGATATGCAACAACTGGAATTTAACAATTTAAAAACTCTTGAACATAAATCATTGAATAAAAAAGATGAACTAACCGATAAGGATTCATTCACACAACAATGTATAGCACCTTTATCAATTGCTGAATCATTACAATCTTCATCATCTACTAATTCGTTAGCTTCATCATTCGATTCAAAAACATCACTTTCTTCATGGAATTCTTCAGAATCTTATTCACAAATACCTAGTAAATCAGAACAATGTCACATACCATTGAATTCAAATATGAACAATAAATTAATTCACTCATTATATACAAATCAATCGAAATTTGAAAAAGCTTCATTGCTGAATCAAGAACACCTACAATATTCAAATAATTTGGATAAGACAAATTGGTCTAATGATTTACCACAAAAATCAAAAAGAGTTGGTCGACATATTAAGAAATTTTTTCATAGGTAAATTTTTTGATTTCATTTTTATTTAATTAATTAGTTTTTATAAATATGAATTTATTTAAAAAGTTTTGTAGAGATCCATTTCATTTGAATTTAATTTTCATCACGGATTGATATAAACTCGGTTAAGTGCTCTGGCTCGAGACTGGTAGGTCCTGGGTTTGAATCTCGCGAGTGTGGGATCGAGGACGCGCACTGCTAAGGAGTCCCATAATAGGACGAAACGGCCGTCCAGTGCTTCCAGGTTTTTCATGGTGGTCTAACTTCAACTGACTCACGATTTCAACTATGAAAAAAAACCTAGGAAATTATTGAAAATCAGGGATCTTTGACACATTACTTTTTCGTATTAAAGCATTGGAAAACTAACGTTTACTTGGGATAAACTAACTTGTTAAACAAAATCTCCATTATATTTGAAATACTAGCTAATAAATGTGTGTGATTGAAATCATTATTATTATCATTATTAATGACTTTATTCAATATTTGTTTACTGCGATATAGAATTCCAAGCATCAAGCATTTTAAATAGTTTCTTTTACAAAATAAAAGCAGGAAAAACCAATAACTGCAGTCATATATAGATAAACTGTTGTCAGTAAACTACCTGGAATTAAATGAGGTGTTTTCTGTTGAGATTAGAATCTGTTCAACTTTTGATGAAAAACATGTTTAGGGATACAATTTAATGACTAAATCAGCTATTACAATCTGTTTGTTACATAGTATATTTGCTAGATAAGGTATTATAGATCTTTCATACCTTCGCTTACGTACGTGAATTTTGATATATTGGCTCCTCGATCCACTAGAAGATGTACTAGGGGAAAGATGACAGTGAAATGGATGGTTAGTATCTGATAAGGTAACACCTATCAAGAATTTACCTGCGACCATATTATTAATTACCTTGAAGATTCACCATACATTTTGCTTGCTGCATTCAGCAATCTCCACAGTACAACAAAATCTCTCAAAAACCCGGGAAAGAGTAATGAAGAACATTAAAGAATAATAGGTAATATGCAAGAATTAACAAATCACAATAGTAAATGTCGAGTAATGGCAAAAGTATGCAGCCTCTTTTATGTTGCAATTCAGATTAAGAACTTTATTCGCAATCAATAAAACATGAGAAGACCAAGAGATATCAGAGAAAAAACTTACATCAAGATGAGTGATTTGGAAAACCTTTTGTTACAGAATTTTCGATAGTACGAACTTCATTGAATGTTTAACTGCTGCTCACATCTCCGGCTAAAGTTAGGAGTTTGGCGTTTAGAAGGATTAAGTGAGAAACCATTTACAACAGACGATCGTTAAGCGGGATACTAGGACTCATTCATTTTAAAGGGATGTGAAGAGGTAGAAATCAGCATACATACAGTGAGATTGTCCGCATATTTAACAAACGTGTTTTCTGTGAGAGATGGCATATAATGCAGAAAGAAGAAAGAAAAGTAAAGGAAAGAACATCTCTTTGTGGCACGCCTTCTTGGGTTAGTAGAGAGGTTAGACATTTGAACACAATGTACTGTTCTCTTCTAGTGAGGTAAGAACATAGCCAGTTGGTTATTCAGCTGTCAATTTTGATGCTGATTAACTTGTTAAGTAGTAGTTTTTGGAATAGAGTCGAAAGCATAACTATAGTCTAGAAATGCGCATCAAACATACTTCTTACTCTGTTCCAAGCTGAGCACTATCTTATGGTGCAGAACAACACTAGCATCGATGATACTTATTTTGCATCTGTAAACAAACTGATTTGTAAGCAAACTAAAATGTTGATATTTATTTGCCGGGAAAAAAAGTAATTTTCAATGTGAACAACTCAGTATAGCTCTCTACATTGGTTGAAAAAACATCTCCTTATTGATAACCATAGACAAAACTTGACTAAATATTGAAAAACACATTACAACTTGGTCAGTATATTCTAATTTCAAATGTGAAGTTGGGAGACAATTTATCTTAGTGACTATCATCTAAACCTACACCCAATAGACTATCTACTGTTTACTTATGAATTAATTTTATCAATCACCTTAACATATTAACATAAAACACCCTAACAAAAATATATCATTTGTATCTAGTTGACAAGTCTTATAACTAATTATTCATGTGATCATAAGTCCATCATCCCTGTAGCTTGAATTGTACTTTGCAATTGGCTTAATTACATCAGTAGTCAAATCAATTTATATCTCTGAAATAAGTTGTGTTTAGATATCAAACCTGAATATTTTGTCTACCAAGCCATCTGTCGAGTTTTTAGGAAAACAACAATCCGTGGACACTGTCGTTATGGACTGCAGACTTCAATATTCAGGTTCATAATATTTTTACAGGTCTTCGTACTTAAAAATTCAAGTAATTTTAAGAACAACTCAATAATCTCACAATTCCTTCTTTGGTTGGATTTAAATGGTTATTGATCTCAAGATAGAGTACATTACAGCATCAGTGACAGCATCAATTTTGGTATAGATAAATGTACCGAATAGTAACGATTACTCGAAAATTTGTCATTAATCATATCGATCACTTTGAAATTGATTGGAAGTCTACCTTTATTTCATATGAATGGACCTTCATTCTGTTAAATGCTGTTAACCGCTCCTACTAATTTGCTTTATGTTTAATATATTGAATAATAGCTAGTATTGTAGTACAGGATGCTCGTTTCGTCCTATTCGGGACTCGTCGGCTTGATGTGCCTGGATCTCATAGTTTGTGTTCACTCTGGGATTGGAACTTGGTACCGTTGACTCCAAATGCGGACGCGTCATCCTCTTAGCTATTGAGTCCATATACCCACTGCCTTGGGCAATAGGATAAAGTCTAATTCATTCGTATTGATTATTTGGATTCCCCAATTGATGATTCAAATGAATCAAATATTAATGTTTGAAACATCGTGAGGTTACAAGTAAACGGGTTCACACTCTACTTCTAGCTTTCATGCAGACTATGCTTTGTCAGTATTGAAAAGTTTACTTGTTTTACGTTGTGGTAGGAAACTACCATAAACGATCATTTATGATTTATTGTATAAACAAATTCCTAAGATAAGTGTTGATTAATACATAATTATATCAAGTGAATAACTCCATTTCTAACCCTGTCACGATTACGTTGGACTATCCAAACTTTCCAATTTGTGAAAACATAATATGATGTATGTATGTACATATGCCTTGTGTTATTTTGCTTAAATTTCTTCTTCAAAATCTCATGCTCTTTACCTATCTACGGAGGATTTATATGTTAAGTTTCATTATGTGTGTATTAATAAAAGATGCTGGTGTTACTATTATTATTATTATTATTAATCTATTCCATTTTATGTGGAAACATGACCTCATATCAAACTCTGACATTTTGCATTTATTTCAACAACATTATTTTTATGTCCAGTAATAGTATGCTGAAAAAAATCATTAAAATGGGTTATAATAATCATTAGTATTGTCGATTTGTTTTGTCAGACGCGAAATGAAAAAATTGATAAACATTGGGTAACAGAAAAGTTTGTTTATTCAATAGTAAATAAGTGTGTAAAACAAGAACTATCGTATATATAAGGGGGGAGGATATAAATGATCTGGAATATGAATTGTTAAGCTATTGTACATTTATTTAACTGCAGAGAAATAGCTTCTCGATGAAAATGCCAAGTGGGTGTGTTGGAATACAGAATCATTTTGGCTAAAATATATGAAAGCAACAAGAAAAGTAAATGTGTATTTAACGTTCATCACGTCAAGTGATACAACCTGTCATTGATCTACCTATACTGAACTGAAAAATACTGATGTTTAGTTTATTTATGTGCTATATGAATTAAAAGATGATGAAGATTCAAACAGTTAAGAACTCGTTCTTCGTAAGTTTACGATTCCGAAAATCATTCAGCTATAATCCTTTTTATGATGTAACTTGAGGTTACCAGATGCTTCAAAGATTCCAGTGATAAGAATTTTTGTTTATAAAACAGACTAAGATCATGATATGAACTACATTTCACACACAGACGCAGATGTTTGTCTCTTTGATAATGAGTGATTAGTCTGCACAGCAGTACATAAAACCTGAAAAAGGTAAGCAGAATATATATCTAAGTTGTCAACATGTGGTCACAAATGTGTTCAAAGCATTTCTAGTGTATGGTGGAACAGTAGAATAGTGAGGTTTCATCAAAGTACTGAAAAAAATGTTTCTCAAAGTTGTGATCCTATTCTACTTGATGCGGCTGCGATAAATGTCATGTATTCACACCCATAGCCTACCCCAAACTGTAAGGACAGCTAGAAGAGGAGCAGGTTGAAAGAAGACTACAAAACTCAAATCCATCGGTGAAATCATCAAATGTTCTTTCAGTCGTGTCGGAAGGTAAATATCTCTGAATCTATGATTATAATTAGTAATTTAAAAATCTAAAGCAGTGATATACTACAAAATCTACTGATTTAGTACAGATATATATATTCTCTATGTTGTAACCCGAAGAGAATTGTGAATGGTAACTTTTGAGGACTATTTGTGGACCAATGTAATATGTATATTTCCTATTGTATAATTGTTAAGTAACTATCCTAATCATATTCGTGTTCTTCTTATCATTAGCTTTATTTTGACCTTTGAACTATTATTATACGATTCTTGAGTTGTCGATTACTTTCCCCCTATTCACAGCCACATTTGGCTAAATCTTGTACAAATGTTATTTTCTATTTTATTTTACGATGTGTTCAGTCTGTTTGGTATATAAACTCAGTATGTTTGAAATACAATGATTCATACCGCAGAGGCTGTTATTAATGTTTTGGACTTAACTGACTGGGCTAGGCAGATCACAGGACCGTTTAGCACTCTAGACTGCTCGTACGGTTTTCGTGTGTCACTGTTCCATTCGATAATTCGCTGCTCCCTGATTGGCGGTCTCATCAAGTCACACATTAACTAGGCATCCACTCTGCCACACTCTATATATTTCTTATTTATTATTTCATAATTTCATTATATCATTAATATGAATTATAATGATCTAAATCAATGCATATTTATATATATATATATTCATGTCAGGTTCTAAATTGTTTACAATGATCTAACTGACAGTTACTATTAGATTAAATCGATAGTTTACCAATAGTAGATTGTATATCATTATGGAAACATTTGATTCATGCTGAGTTATAATTCAAAAGAAAAAAACATTATTCAAATAACATTGTACATATTTTATATTAAAAGGTAATGATAATAATAATAATAATAATAATAAAATTGGGGGAAAAAATAACCCTTTTACACCATTCTATTCTATTTTATTTATTTTATTCATATTAAATGTTTTTATTTATTCATTTATTTATTTGTTTATTTATTTGTTTTAGATTAATGACTAATCCTAAAAGTCAAATGGCAGAACAAATTAATTTATTTTTAGAATGTACAAAAGCAAGCAGTGATCGTGGCCCATATAGAACAATGCAGTCAGTAAGTTATTATATATATGTATAAATAGGCAAAATCAACTATGCGTTTTTTTAAAGGAAAAAAATACAATCTACAGGAGGCTAGGAAAGATTGCATTATAAATTGATTCAACAATAAATAACAAATGAGGAAGAAAATTTTCTTTGAGACGAAATCATTTATTTAACATTAACACCGTTGGATGCCGGCTCAATGGTTAAGGAGTTGAGCGCTCGCATGCGAGAATAATAGGTACTGGGTTCGAATCTCGCAAGGCGGGATCGTGGACGTGCACTGCTGAGGAGTCCCACAACAGGACGAAACGATCCTCCAGTGCTTCCAGGTTTTCCATGGTGGTCTAGCTTCAATTGATCATCATCAATTTAATTCTTGCCTATATAATTGAGATCACTGACTTAAAATATACTCGTCTAATACTGAATTTGTAAAGTTGTTGTCAGTAAGATCACAACCTTTCACTTTGAACAATATCGCGTTACACTTTAGACTATTCTGTCTTAATCTAATTAAAAAGTTCCATCAACATATGAAAACGATTCTTCATCTGCAAATATAAATGTGTCACTCAATACTTGTTATCCACGCTCATAAACGGTATCTATCTGAACATCGGTAATCAAATAAATGAGCATCAACTAGATAACTGATATTTATCTACAATCATTAAAGCTGACCAAAGTGTATCAGTAAATGAATTCAACATTTGCGGTATACAAAATTAAATGTCACTGAATTAAGTTATATTTATCGTTTGATTTTAAGAATATTGTTAGGAAGTGATCAAAAACATTTCAAATGTTAATTTGATTGATCAAATGGGTCCTATTGTAATCACCACAATACCATCGGAAGATTTAATTATTCGAATTTATGACTTCTACCCTACATATGTATATTGTTCCTTTACTACGTCATTTGGTTTATTTTTTTCCTACATAGATTCGTCAATTCATCAGTGGTATGACCAATTATCTCCTTAAGAATCCATATCTTGGTCTTCCAAAAGCTGTTGAACGAGAGAAAAAGGAGGTAACAACTTTCTATTCATGCAAATACTTCATGTCATTGGTGTTTAGTTGCCTTATTTGCCTTTGTTTGGTTTACTCATGTTGTGATGTATTCGTTTACTAGCTAGTCACTTTGTAACCTCAACTTCAATACAGTAAACTAGACTACTTTTATCCTCTTCTTTCCTGCCCTCTAATAAGGATGGGAAGTTCACTTTTTGTATAGAAGATTTGCTAATGGAGACCCCAGAAGAAATAATTTATATCCAAGTTTATTCCTTTAAATATTGTTTGTTCAGTGATTATTAATTACAAAATTTCATAATACCGAACAATTGTCACTGAACACAAAATACAGCGAGTTAGTTAAAACAAAAGAAAATGCATTGAAAATCATACAACTAACTGGATATTGAATAATCGATATTAATAAAAACGTGCTTTATGTCCATGAATAGAAGTCATTCTCAATAAATTAATGTGACAAAAATGCGTTAAAAGTTGACTGGACGAAAATCACCTTAAACTGATAAGTAAATTTTAAGATGGACTTTCTTCTTCATATGTTGTATTTGGAAATTCTATATCAAAAACAGAGAGATATATCTAAACAGATTGTTATGCTGATTGATATGAATATTCAGAGAAGAGGTCTAGAAATATCACTCAAGCACTAATGATAACTCGGATAGTAGAAGTATCTACAGGTTAGTTATAGTTTGAAAAAGAACCCTGAAATAACAAGGAATATTAGAAAACACACAAATACAGGTTAACATTACGCTGAATTTCCGATCTTATGAAAAAGTGAATAATAACAGTGCAAGCTAATCTGAGGCCAACAAATCAAACACTTTCTTTTCTTCTTTCATGTAGATACGTTCGATTAGAAAGTAGTTTATATCACTGATAGACATTGACCGGTATTAGCCCCACCGGGAACTTAACAGGCAATAACAATGAATAGTCCTTCAGCTATAGAGCAAAAAGAAATATTTAAAATTCAAGTCACCGGATCCTAAAGTATTGATCTAAACGTAATGTGATCAATGTATAAACCGGGTTTCCCAAGGTATTATGTGATTCGGTTTGAAGGTAAAATCTGTTTTGCGACTCAACTTAAACATCGACAACCCAACTGTGCATACAGCTGAAAAAACTTAAAACTAAAGCACTTCGTAACACTTTCTGAATGGAATTGTCTTTAAATATATCCATTTCTGTAAACGACTAGTCTAAATACAAAATACAGTGTGTTTCTGTATGGCGATTTTCAAGATTGAATTCGTGAGTGTGATACTACAGAACGGCGGGAGTATTTTAAAAATAATCACACCACTCAAGAGTGTCAACAATTATCTGGTTCAAACCCACGTCATCGGGTTTAAATCATATGTTTTGAATAAATATTTGCGAAATCATTTCTTCGTATAAATTTATAGCCAGATTTTAGCCTACAACCTTATGGTTTAAGACAGATTGTTTGAACAAATAAGCCATTAATCACCAGTCAAAGCTCTCTAAGTCGCTAGGTCTCGTTAGTGGGTAATATAGGTTGACGTGACATTGCAATAAGAGCTACATCTCAGTAGAATTTGAATCATTAATCGACGTACTGAGCTGAAGTGATGCGAAGATTGGAAAGGAATCTTTGTTGTTTACAATTGAGCATTTTTATATAAAACAATAAAGGCTTTGCTTGATTTTATCTAACCCTTTTAACTTCAGAGCCTTCCGTTCATTGTTTTTGTTATGAAAAGCAAACCGAACAAACCACAATATATGTACTAATTTTTTCGGTACTGTTACCATGTCAGGATAGATTCTTCATTAATTTTCAGCCTGTATGTTTTTCTGTTTTGTACTTAAGAACATACACTTTCTAATCTTACTCACTATTAATCAGTGGCTTATAATTCTCTTAATTAATAAAGTCGAGAAACAGGAAGTGCTAATGACATGAACGTGCATATTTTCAAAAAATGTTGCTGGTAGAATGACAAAAATCCTGATTGAATTTTTGTAAAGAATAGAATTTAATTTTTATCAATAATATGAAAACTGTCTTCATTTTGAATGGATTCCGACTGAGAATTCATTTAACACTAAACAATACTGGTTAGTTGTTTCATCTCTGTCTACGCTCTATGAGATCGCAAACTTATAACCTTACACCCAATAAAGATAAAAACTTCATTCTAGTGTTATTCAAAGAAACAAAGAGGAAAATAAAGTTTCAGGCTAATATGTCAATTGCACATATTCTAATTTATTCTTTTTTAAAACTTCCACCGACTCATATTATTAATTGTTTTTTAATTAATTTAATTTTAGTTAAATGAATTCGGATATGTAAATGTTGGTTTTCATTTAGAGTCAGCTTTACAACGATATATCCTTAAACCATTACATTTTCATGTGATTAAACAATTAGAACACGAACAAATGAAGTGAGCAATTAAATTTATAATTATTACATTTATCTGTAAGGAGTAGGTTTATTTTGCAGTTTCATCAAAGGTATCGAGTAGATTAGTTTAATTTTACTTAATAATCACTATGAATTGATCTTATTTAAGGTATTTAAAATTAGGAGGCATTGAACATGTGCTTTATTCTAGTATGGAACTCGTCACTAGTTCACAGCCACTAACTCATCTACGATCGAACTCGGTATCTTCAAGTTTTTAGTGAACATGCTATTTCTAGTAATCCATATTCCTGTCTGTTAGTTCACATTATGTCGTTAATATCGTCCATTACTATCGCCGTTAACTAGCTTCCAAACAATCTTAGACTCAAGTGCTCATACCTTTTCAATAGAAACTGACAAACTTGTCTTGATACTACTCGCTGGCAAATTTACCATCAGTCTTGTCTAAAGATCTATGAAGACATTTTTCTCAATAAATCGATTTTAAAATTATTTACTTCTCTCATGAGAAATTTAGTAGACAGTCTAATAACTCTGCCAAGAAATTATTATTAAATTTTCAAGGAATAACTTTTGTTTGGCTGTACTAGACTGGAAAAAATGAATATAACCGTGTCTTGTTAAAATATGACTTATATTCACATGACAGTGCATGATGTAGTGCAATCTCACGAATCGATTAATGGTCAAAATATAGATTCCAACATGGTGTTTTAAAGCTCTTTCCTTCAGTGAGAGAACTAAAAGTTTTAGACTTGATCGGTGGCTGAATCGTGGGCGCACACTGTTAAAATTACTCAAATTATGATGAAACAGCTTACCAGAGCTCAATCTTTTCTTAGTTATTACCTACTTAATATGAGTTTGTGACAAGAATAGGCTTCATTATTCGTACACTTTATCAAGTTTTCTTGCTTAAAAAGAGTTGTCTTTATATATGAATGGATGGTAATTAATTTAATCAGTGTCCAACTAACCTATCATTATTATTTTAATAGTTGAATTCATGAGTCTATCTAAGCTAAATCACCAATAAAAACCTGGAAGCACTGGACGGCTGTTTTGTCCTAGTATAGGACTACTCAGCAGTGTGCACCCACCATCTCTCACGCGGGACATCAACACCGTTGGATGGCTGCCCAGTGGTCTAGAGCTTAGGCGTTCGCGTGCGAGACCTAAGGTCTTGAGTTCTAGTCCCGTTTGTGAGGTCATGGATACGCACTACTGAGTCTTCCATACAAGGACACAATAGCCATTCAATGCTTTCAGGTTTTAAATGGGAGTCTAGTCTAGATTGGCTAATGATTTCAACCATTAAAATTACTACAATCTCCACAAATCCCTATTCGTATATTATTATTGTCATCATCGTCAGTGTGTATATTTATAGGTGTAGACTAATTTTTAACGGCTATGCTTAGTACAAATAAACCTTGGTTAATCAATTCATAAATAAGCTTATCAAATAGCGAGTATGTCTAATTCAAAGACTAATTTTTTTTTATTGTCAGTTAAAATGAGGGAATTTTCCACACTTTAAATAGTAGGCTTTAATACTGTTATTTTTAAGATGGTGTAAACTCACTTAACTACTCACATAGAACAGAAATGAAAATTCATCTTCAAAAATCAGCCTTTATATTTTGTTTCATAATGTCTAGCTATTATTACTAAAAATTGATTATTACCATGCATAAAAGGAAAGTTAAACAAATTAGATTTTATTACGCCGTTACTTATTTATATTTTCATCTTTAGCGTAATCATATGTCAAGAATAACGTTTAGTCAGTTGATCTATTTATTTCAAACTAATGAGAAATTTTTCTCTATTTCTAACAAAACTTCAATGCATCAAAAAGCATTGAATTGTACCCAATTAAATAAAACATGATTGCATTTTACGTGCAATGGTTTCATGCAAATTATTTCAATATGTTGCTTATATTTTGTTATGGATTGATCTCAGTGAAAGTACAATTGAAAACCATGAGATATTAGAAAAGCGTTTCGTCTTAGTATGGGATTCCTCACCAGTGCTTATCCACAACCCCATAGCAGTGTATCAAAGTCGAAACCTTCAAGCTTGTGCGCGGGCAGATGACCTCCAGACAACTTGGTGGTATGGGGTCACAGGTTGTGAGTTTCGACCTCTGTTTGTGGGCTCGTCAGTGTGCACTGCTGAGGAGTCCCGTATCTGGATGAGACTGCTGTCCAATGATTCCAGTTCCTCAATAATTAACTTGGATCGGTTCATGATCTCAACAAAATTCAACCATCTCTACAACCCCATACTAACTACAATGAATTACTTAAAAATAGTAGTCTTAAGCTGAATAATTTACAATAAATCGGCTGTCCTAAAATATGAACTTATTTCTAGAAGGTTAAGAACAAAACAAACTAATTTATAAAGATTAATTTTCATAATGGACTGACATCAGCTGTTCAAAATTTGATGACTGAATAGCATTATACCTTTGAAAAATATAAAAACCCAAGTAAGATTCATAACAAATATTACTCTCGAATTAATAATTTTAACTTCATAGGTTATTGGAAATATGTTATACAAAGTCGTGTTTTACCCGTATCATTTATATATTTTTATTATTTAAAGGAACATGGATCTCGGTAACTTACAAATGAAAGTTCGGAAGTTGTGTGATCCCGAAACTCGAGCATCAGATCTTGGAATACAGGTAGTATTAAAAGTACCTTTTTCAGTTTGTAACTAATAATGAGTATTACACAATCATTATTAAAATTGATGTCGAGAGAAAAAACCAAACAGATAGTTCTAACGTTAGATGTTTGGTGACAGTCAATCTCATGTAGTCCAGGAAGTTTGGTTGATCTCTGCCTCCTTGTTTCACTTGTGATGTCGGGGCAATTTACGTTTGCCAATCAAAGAACAAGCATAATATCCAGCACTCTAGTATGTATTACTTCGTGATTATAAAAAGTGGTCTATGCAAGTAAAAGATATGAAAAGACTGTAGGTTTTTTATCACAGATTTCTTCAGTGTTTTCTGTATTTTGTGGAATGACACACTGAACTATACTGAGGTTAATCACAGGATACTAGACAAAAGTGGAAAATCCGTTAGTGAGGTTATAAATCTTTATCTCTACTTCTTTTGCTAATTATCTTGTTGATTTCATCTCGTTACACAAATTTGATATGACAACTTGGGCCAACATACATTTTTTCAGGCTCTACGTTGTTGATGGCTGTTTGGTTTGCAATAGTATTTAAATCATAATGGCTTCATCTATAATAATTCAGGTTCATCTTTGCATCTTTTGTGTTTTTGAGCTTGAACGCAACAGACCTATTCTTCGAAGTTTGATAAAGTGTTAGTAATGATAATAGACGACAAAAGGATACATATGAAATTCGGAGTATAAGTTTTAGAATTTAAACATGTATATCTGAAAGTATTATTGTACTTACCGAAATTATGCGAATGAGACACATTCCATAATTATGATAATAGAGGACATGATAATTTCAAACAGATGGGTTCCATTAGTCATATACTTCTATCGAAAATTAGTTTATGTCACTGACTGATACCAGCTGAAATGCTATTGAAAGCCGGATATGAAAATTTTTGATTTGGAACTTATTAGATTTTCTCCATTCTTGACCCCACACCAATTGCTGCTAACCACATTCAAATCTAGCGTGTATGACACTGAACTATTATTCAGTGATCAGTAAATTCGACTTTGTTTTTATAAAAGCATAGCTTGACGAATATCCATTGTAATCGGCAATAAGCTGAACTCTACCATTAATGGTTTCTTACTACAAGTTAGTGATTGATAACCAAGTGGCTTTTATTTTGAGAAATTATTTATGATGAAAATAATTTCTAAAACCAGCTGGTATCAGCTGAATAGCCACAGAAAGCCGAAGGGTACTACTGATAATTCGTGATAAAAATTAGCCTCAAAAAGGTACTGACTTCACAAATCGTTAACTGTAATATTTTGAATCTATATGATTCGCATTTGTAAGATTTTAAAACTCATAAAAATCTTCTGTTATCAATACAAGCATAAGTTTGGAATAAATTATGAGTGCGTATATAATTATTAAGTCTACATGGTACATATAATGGACTTTGATCAGGAGCCCCAAAAATCCTAAGAACATGTCTCCAGACTTCACATGTTTTCTAGACGTTTCTAGTACTTCAAAGTTACATGTTATCCGGTAATTGTTTTTGTTTTCTGTACATGAACTAATCTTGGAAATGGAAACCCTTTCCATACTGTTCGAGATTCGAGTAACAGAAATTCTGAGGGGAGATCAGCAAACGGCTAGAAAGTCAATATGAAATATTTAAGTATTAATTGTCTCAATTTTTATGGTTTATTATTAAGGAGTATTATTATCAGTATGGATGAATTGATTTTTCACTATTTGTTTTCCATAGCTCTTAAAGTATATATAATTTAAGTCACCATTTTGAAGTGTTCTTGTGTTTATGTATGTGTTGCGAAAAAGGTAGTAGATATGTACACCAAAAGCGATACACTAATATGTTTAGCGATTTATTGAACGTACTTATTAATTAAAAACAATCTCATAAAACCTGTGAATTACATTTCCATGACACTTTGTGAAAGATTTAAACAGGCGCTTATGTGTTACCTGCAGAGTCAAGTCTTGGTATGTAATGACTGATGAACACATAATTTTTGTTACATTAAAGATATTAATGCTAATTCATTCACCCACGTGGAATGTATGTATACAGTTTGTGTGTTCACTTGCTTGAGTGGAAGTGATTATGCAATAAAGATAACAGGTTTAATTGAATTATTTATAATTTCCTCGTAAACATTCACACGAATTCCATGTTTTTTATTCATTTATCATGTCATTTATAGATAAACACGATTATTATTATTATTACTCGATCCTCTTGGTATCTTAGGTAATAATTACGTGGTTTATTGAGTATAAAGTAGTTAGGTTGAGTGTTTTATAAGTGTTCATAATTGTCAAAATCACTACTTCTTGTCATAATATACACTAATAAGACCCCCTGCCAAGGCGTTTGACCCTCCTGTTTTCTAAGTATGAATATACTTCAATTTAACTTCATGTTTTAGGTTTTTTTTTTGAACGTAATAACTTTTACTCCTAACTCTATGTACATATATGCTATAAAAAAGGACTAAAAACTATCGCAATACTGAACATGAAAAAAATCAAACGGAAATGCTACAGTTATTAACGTTATTTAGTGCAGAGAATTCCGTGCTACGACAGCATTCATAGCATTGAAGAAAGTTATTATTGCACTAACATATCATATAATTCTGATGATCCTTGTCTTATTATTACACTGTCCAAAGTTTATTATCATTATTAATTCTTTAATGTACTTTGCTTCAGATAGTCACTTCTGATTACTGACTTCATATCATTTTTATTTCACAACTTACACAAACACCTATACAAAGTACAACGAACAACATTATCAAACAGTTATCCACTTCAATTGATAATTATCAGTAAATGTTACGATTACTAGGTGAGTTCTTAGAGATTTATGGGTTCGCAAATGTGTCAGTGGTTTACATCTGTTGGAGTACCGTAGAAAATGAAGGAGCACTGAAGATCTACCCCACTCTAAAACGGGACTCCTTAGTGTTGACTAATTTTATTAGTAACAGAAGGGATTTTGTGGAGATTTTAGTAATTTTTTATTCGAAATGATGAGTCAGTTGAAGCTAGACCACCATGGAAAACCTGGAAGCACTGGAGGATCGCTTCGTCCTGTTGTGGGACTCCTCAGCAGTGCGCGTCCACGATCCCGCCCTGCGAGATTCGAACCCAGGACCAATCGGTCTCGCACGCGAGCGCTTAACCTCTAGACCACTAGGTCGGCATCCGGTTCAACTATTATAATCTTATTAGTGTTGGTTATTGGATTCTAACTCACTAGTCTAGAGGTAATGTCTTTTCCACGAAGGTTAGTAGAGTGCGATTCATGGAGACGTGATAGGGTTCATATGAGGACGAATTATCTGACCATTGCCTTCTGACTTTTTATTGTTACCTTGACGGTTCTCAATATGTACGGAAAGTAACCTGAAAGCCTAGAAACACACCATAGTTGGACGAGAACGTTTATTCCCAAAAGCTGAATGATAAAGTTTTCACAGCTGATGGATATATATAGTTTATTATTAGACCAATAACTCATTTGTTTATAATAAACAACCTGGACTTATAATGTACTGCTCTAAAACTAAGTAATCTGACCTGTTTTGTTCGTCATAACATTACCCATCAAGAAACTTATGTTCGACCCTTTCTATAGATTGGCTTTAGTTGTGTAACATTAGAAAAAGGAATTTTTACATAATGATTAAATATTTGAAGGCAGTTTGCTAGACATGTCTAATGAAGCCAGATAAGTTTCAAGTATGTTTCCCATTTTTGTCGATGTTTCCATCTCAACTCAATTGAAACTATGAATCATTAAAACACATTAAAACAAGCTTTTATAGTTCACCCAATGTTTGATTTTACACAAAGCTGAATTGAACGACTTTCCTTTTCAAGGGAACCTCTTTTTTCACCTAACAAGGTATACCCAAAATGATATTTAGATAATTGTATGGAAAGCATTTAGGATCAAAAGGAGATCGACTTTACGTATTAAACTATGCTTAATAGGTAAAAAAAAGTACAAATATCATAAAAACACTCTTGGATAACGTATATCACTTCGACCAATTGAACTCTTACGAATGGCCTCCAAAAACAAATGTACACGTTACCTATTTCAGCGGAATAAAAAATGTAAGCTATAAATCACCGTAGGTGAGATTAATTTTATGGGAAGTACCCTGATACTCATCATCCGAGGCACTAACAGATCTACTTCTGCCAAATTAACTAGATCATCCTAAAATATGAACCACTTCGTGAGTGATCTCACATTGTTTTACGTTTAAAAAGTCTGCCTTAAGTGGTTATTCTCTGTACATACACTATCTTTTCAGAAATAAGTGGAACTGAATAAAAACTGGTTATTATCAGTGAAAAATGTTGGTCAACTCAGTAGAACTTAATAACTGCTAAAATAATACAAATAGACTTCTTTTATTGAGTGGAAATGAACTTGATACAAAAAATGATGTTAAACTAGTTGATAATTTGGCAAAAAGTATGATGTTTTTTATTTTAAACAAATAAAAATGCATGAAGGAAATTTCAGTAAGAATAGTCGAAATTCCTCACTCCTTCCTCTTCAATCATAATTATTGCCCTTATGATTATCATTATTAATCTTTGATTACATTAATAATCTCTAAGGGTGTTACAACCTCGAACCGTGACGAATAATTTATTATAAAATTATACATAAGTAAGCCCATGACTCTAACATTATGTCCATATATCACATGTACCCATGGATAGGTAGCATAAATCATTGTCAAAAACTATATGTAATCACCTGGAAACTGTTCTAGCGCAATATAATACAAGTATAAATAATTCTTCATTAATGTATATAATGTGTATCTTAGGTTGTTTAATTATTTATAAATTTCATGTTTAACTTGTATAAACCAAGTTTTTTTTCATAAAAAATTTCATTGTTTCAGTATTTTTTTTTGGGGGGGGGGAATCAATTTTCAATCAAATTTTTTATTCATAAAAAAGTGCATCAATGTAATGAATAAAGAGGTATAAAAAAGTGTTATAAATTTCCCCTGTCTTAATAAATCCAATGTTTCTTTTTTATTATAATAATAAAGAATAGTTCATAAGTCTTCAAATATATATGTTAGTGTGTGTGTGTGTGTATGTGTCCATCCCCCAATATAGATGAATATAGTCTTTAATGTTCTTAAGGTAACAAAAAAATTATCAATAATACCCTCCCTTCATTAACTAAGGATAGTTGTTTTATTATTGTGTTGGTATTTTTATGATTGTTAACAAGAATCAATTAGATTAATTTTTATGTCAGTTATTATTTACACAACTACCCTGTACTGATTATGATTACTAAATTATGAGGTGGTATAAAATAAAAAAACAAATAATGTTCTTGTAAACGTACAAGTTCATTCAATGAATAATTTTTTTCTTCTGTATAGGGTATTGTAGTAATTTGGTTGTTAGATGATAATGAGTAGTATGTACTAAATTTTAGTATTAAAGAAAATGTATATGGGATAGTTTTGATAACGGATAGACTTTAGGTGGACAACAAGTGAAAATTAGTAAGGATTGAACATAATTTTGTCCTAGTATGAGACCACTTAGCAGTATTTACTTCTGAGGGAAGTGATTGAAGTTGGAGATGTGAATCCCTAAATGGTGACTAAATGACCTAGAGGTAATCCGATTGCCTTGAGGCCTAAGGGATCTCAATTCGTTTCCTAGCAAAGCTATGTGTGGTTACTGTCAAGAATTCTTATACAAAATCGAAATAACTTTCCACTTAATTATATAAACTATCTTCTAGCTTAATATTCTCTAAAAACCTCGTATCCTAAGGGGGATATAATGTTCATGTTGTGAAAATGTCAACTAAATGAAATTGAATATTACAAAGTTAAAATCATTAACATACTTCTCCACTCGGCTTGCTTGCTGTCCATCGAGTGAAAAAACAGGAGAGATGAACAACCGGTACACTTACAGGTAGGTACGACATCTGGCTTTACCATTACATCACACAAACATTGAATATTGCTTGGAGAACCTGTAGTGGAAATATCTAGACAAAAAATGGACAATTTAGATCCAGCGTCTCATTTCAAGATTTAGTTTTCTTAGAGATATGCTATTCCACAGACTCTGATTTAAGCCTTCTATGTTTAGACTGGTCTGACAGTCTACACCAAACTAACAAGCCTCTGAGTTTCACATGCAAAAAATTTCAATCCACTGTTTGTACAAAATTTTCAGTGGAACTACTGAAAAATGTTTCTGCTGTCTTCAGACTAGATTTGAGTCGTTCGAAAACTGTGCAGGTGGTAAATCACTTGTTTGGTCCCATTATAACATTGACGATGAAGACTATTCAGCAGGTATCAGTCACTGACCCTACACGGCCAGAAGAACCATGGTAACAAATTTATATAGACTTTTGCCCACTGAACAACGTAAATTATTGTTTATTTGTGGATGATTGCCATAAATAACCAAAGATTGTCCCGCGATGACATCGTCCATAACAAAAGCATTTAAATACTGACAGAAATTTCCTGCCGAAACGGGTTGGCAACCACTATAATATCAGATGAAGGGTCGCTGTTCACATTAGAATAATTCAAAGAGTTTGACTGGCATCATAAGATAAACCATTAGCGTTTGCTACCAAATAATTCGCAGTCAAGTGAGCATGTCAAAAGGTTTCCCAATACTATCAAGCAGGCGGATTCAAATTTGAAAACGAAGAGAATTGTGGTCTATAGAATTTCCTTTTCGTATATCTTGTCACACCTAGTGAAGCAAATTTCGAGAAAAACACACCAGAATTTTTGTTGGGATGAAAACTTAACACGACTCCCCGTACTGTCCCTGTAATTTCTCGAAGACAAAGCAAAGCTCTCAGGATTCCAAATTACTGCACTAATATTTGGTCTTGTCTATCAACCCAACCAGAAGGACGAAAAGAGATTCCAAGATGTCAAATAAAGTCATTGTAGCTTTAAGAGGAAACAAAGGGATTGGATATTCAAATCTACTACGTAGAGTAAGTTCTCCTGATTCTGCTATTACTACAAGAATACCACTAAGTATCTTATTCGCTAAATTTAGTTTCCCAACCCAGGAAGACAATTAAGCAGAACTAACACATGACTCGGATTTGGATGCTTAAAAATCTCTACAAACCTTCAAACCAAATTTAAAGTATGATCAGCAAAAATGGATAGTGGCTAGCAGTGGAATCCAGGACGCGCGTTTCGTCCTATTTGGGACTCGTCAGCTGAATGTACCTGCATCTAAAAGTTGATGTTCACTCTAGAACTTGAACCCAGTACCATTCACTTCAAACGCTTTCGCATTATCTCAACATATAAATATTGGTACAAAGGAGCACCAGATATATATGCGCCACACAAATCTTTTTTGATTTGTGTGTGGGCTGTGATACTGCTCGGGTGCCCAAACCGAAGCAGGAATATCAACTTTACAATCAAGGATGCTTATCATGCTTGTGAATCAAGGCTATATCGAGACAATACGCACAGTATGCACATATGCCAATTAGAGACTGACCAGTTGCAGTCCTAACACATCGATGGGAAGATTCAAACAAACAATACTAAGTGAATTCAAATTTAAAGTAGTTGTTTGATAAACATATGACCCATTTAATCGCCAATGCAATTCCTATTTCATTATATGATACATAAATCAAGTCAGAAGTTGATTCTAACAAGTTATCATATAACTTTTTATTAGTTAATTTTGTTTCGAAAAATGATCTAAGCATGAAAAACTTAAATTCTTATAATATTTTTTTCATTTTTAATGGTGCCATACAGTTCTATCTATAAGTTTTATTTGAATTTTTATATTCTGACAAAAAAAGTTTAATGACATCTTAATGGTTTTCTCAGTGATATGAAGCTTTGATTTACTTTTCTAGCCATTAAATTTGTTTTTTTTTGTCGCAAACTGTTTGATAAGATTTTATTACCTTTTTTATAAGGTATTTTTTATTTTTATTAACATTTTATCGGTCTATTGTTGTGGTTATTATTTTGTCTAGGATCAATGGTGTCTTCTGGTTGCCAGTCTAAGGGTATTTTTTTTGTCTAATTTCACAGTTTAATCGCTGAATGAGTTCTAGACAAGTATGATATTGGTGACTAATGAGACGACCATTTAGAGCCACCAGAAACTAGAGGATATTTGTATCGGAGCTCAGGACTTTTCATTATGTTACACCTACAAACACATTGACAGTCTAGCTGAAAACCCTCAACTTACCTTCAAATCCCTTAGTAGTAGTGTAATGGATGAGAACACTAGTTGGGAACAATCGAATGTATTTAAGCAATAAACACAAACTACCTCACTAAATTCTGATGACCATACAGCGAACAGTTAATTTGCAAAATAACAACCAATTGTCCCAATCTTCACTGTTCCTTCTGTAAATATCAATTCATCTTCTCTAATTTGATTGTTCGTGCATTTTCTTACCAATTTCGCTTCATTTCTGCTCGTTCTTTACCGGTCTTCTGCCAAAATACATTCTATGTCTAACCATCACCATATACTACTTATATAGATATAAGTATACCAAACCACAGTAGCTTATGTTTTAAATTTCGAATTTCATCTTCATCCTACTAAATTTTTTTAGTTATAAATTCTTCGTTTTATGAAATTTTGTATTTTTGTTGTTGTTGTGTCTTTTCCCAATTTATCAACGAAATATAAACTTGTCAATTAGGCACCTATCGCACCACCGAAAGAATCCCTTATACAATATGTGATCAATGTTTATTCACATTTAGCGAATACTTATTCAGTTCAACGGAAAATAAATTATCTTGTTTCTATATTTAATTATATTCGAAAAAGCGTAAGTGATTTCAATATTTTTTTTATTTTTAATATCTATATTACTATTTTATATGAAAGTCCGTTCGCATGTCAACACTCTAAAATAAGTTTAGTCGATATACGTTGAAGATAAAAAAAAGGTAGTCGAATATGTGTATTTCAAGTTATTTCTAAATCTCTCAATATCTCCTATAACTAATGAATCAATTAGTTAGTCGTAAACAACATAGCAGCTTACACAAGTACATATCGATCCGACATGCAACACAATGAATGTCGGTATTTTTCTGTCAAGTACAAATTTAAATATTCAGCTTTAAGTTAACTTTCTCCATATTGAGATCCATGTGCATACACAGTTGATTAGTTTAAAATAGCATGAAACTAACGTCAATGGTTCCACTGTAAACATTACCAAATTCCAATCAATAGCATATTTAATTGAATAGAATTATAACTAAACCTCTTCACAATCTAAATGAGAATTATATAGTTTAATTGTGAAACTTTTATTGGATTAGAGTAGAAATAGGTAAATTTAGCTGCTCAATAATTAGATAGACAGTGGTGTTTCCTGTTTTAATTAACATTTTCTTAAATTAACGCTTATGTAGCTGTTTGGTTACTCAGATGTATATAGGTAAGCAGATTCGAGCTTATGACCCAGTACCTCAAACATGAATTTTATTTAATCATCAAATAAACCATGACTCTTATATATCATGTTATGATGTAGAAACAATTAAAAAGCAGATAAGTTGAAAGGTTTAACTATTATCAACTGAAATAGAATATTTAAATGTGGTCAATTGCTGACTAGGATGACTGAAGGATCTTTAAGTGATTGATATATGAATATACTAATTTTTATGTGATTTATTCACTGTCAGATTTGTATAATTTGAACTAAGTAGTATGTAACATCCACTAATCACTAATTTACCATGTGAACATATAACATATTGATCGATTTTCATACTGATTTATTTTGCTCTTTTGATCCTGTCATAACAACAATTGACTATAACTTCTGCTAAATGAATATAAGAGGATAGAACAATTAAACATTTGCAACGCTGTCTATTAGTCCATAAAAATACTCGTCTAATAAACACATATACACATTAGATCGATTTTAAGCGGTGAATTTCATTTCGTACATAATTAATATGAGACTAATTTGTAATTGCAGATTAAAGATGATTGAATACGCATACGTCGTTCCGTATAACTAAACTCTAAACTTTCAGGTCACATAGTGAGCTTAGACCGTTAAAACAGATGTGGAGTTCATTAACAGTAAATAGGATAAATCTATAGATTGTTATTCTTTAATACTGGTAGTAGAGATGATTCTAGAAACCCCGGCTCAATCATAAATCGATCGAAATGCACTTAATCGGCCTTTGTAAAATGAGAAAAATTTCAATTGTCTGTTATTCATTCTGCAAGGATGAATTGTAGTTTTTTTTCTTTTCAAAATCAGCTAACCACGATAACTGAAATGGTAGTGACTATCTAGGTTTAGTAGTCCAGTGGATGACACACTAATATTTGAAAGGAGAGGTATAAGCATTGAGTCTAAGTAAGAGGATCACCATTGGGTACTAGATAAATTCAGCAAAAATAGAATGACACACATTCATAACAAGCCATAATCTATGTGTTCAAAAAAAAGAAAAAAAATCCTCAATCTTACTTTGAAGAGTGTAGATCATAAATCCGATCCATAAACACAATCTATTTTATTTAACAGCATAGTTATACACATTGAAATATCAAAAAAGTAAATAACTCAATTTATTTTATTTTTACTATCAAAAAAATATTCGTTTAGATATACAATTTGAAATCGGATCAAGAATTAGATGCAAACTCTTTGAGTACTGAAGGTTAGTAATTTTATTCAAAATAACACAAACAATAATTTATGTTGATATTTTCTAATAAGTAATAATAACAATAATTTGACACAGTAACTGAATATAAGTTGGTTAATTTGATTTCAAGTCATATCCAATTGTTGTGACTCAATTAGGTGAAGAAACGTTTGAATTCTTGAACTCACGGCTATATAGTATATCATCAGTGATCAAGTCTGATATTACTTCGAACGAAGCATTTATCATGGTTGAATTAGTAGATAAAGTGATATTTCAATTTTTAATTCACTTAAATTATTCATTTTACCTGCTTACTCACTTAGACCTGTTACCACTCTCAGAGGTGCATAAGCCGCCCACTAGAATTCCTTATCGAACTTTGTTCTGGACAATCCTTTCCAGTTTCTATTCATCCTTTTGGTATTTGCTTCGAATTCTCGGTGCAGTGTGTTCTTTGGCCTTCCTCTTTATCCGTTCCCCTTCAGGATTCCAAATAAGGGCTTACTTCGTGATGCAGTTTGAAAACTTTCTCAATGTGTATCCTATCCACTTCCAACGTTTTTTCTGAATTTCCTCTTATTCTGGAAGCTGGTTTGTTCTTTCCCACAGTAGGCTGTTGTTGATGGTATCCGCACAACGGACACTAAGTTTCTTGTATAGAAAATTGTTTATAAATACTTATACCTTTTTGATAATGATTCTTACGTTTTCAGCTCCGTACAGTAGAACCGTTTTGATGTTCGTATTGAAGATTATGACTTTGATATTGTTTGGCAGTTGTTTTAAATTCCATGCGTTCTTCGAAATTGTAAATTGGGATTTGTTTAAAAGAAACAAATAGGAATAAAATAACTCAGTAAAATTTATTAGTGCTCAAATTCAAAGTATAATACCAAAACAAATTCCAGGCTCATTAAAATAGTGTGCTACTTTCATAAGATGTTTATATTTCCAGTTTTTATAATCTCGACTTGACCAGATTCTCTTCATGTAATGGTTCATTTTCATGGTTACTTTAATAATTTCTTTGATCACAACTTGAGAGTATGTGGTATCAGAAATCAAGTTACATTTAATCTAAAATTTGCTAACCAAATAAAACTGTATGAAAATAATCTCAGTGAAATTTATTCCTAGTGGGGTGCATACTACTTATGCGGACAGACAAGTAGGATGTAGCAGGAATTAGATGCAGAATGCTTACCAGCAGATGAATGAAATAAAGTGGACATATAGGAAAACGAAGAGCAATCAGAATATCAGCAGGAATAGAAATCTCCTTAGGTAAAGATAATTTGACTGGATATATTTTTCAACTTTTGCATCATGTATTTTTGTTGCGTACAATAAAAGTATCCATCATCTATTAAGATCAATAGATTTCAACAAGTTAATAAAGGATACTTTTGTTATGGAAGTGTATTCTTAAAGCAGCTGATGAGTTATCTTTCAGAAATATTCATACCCAACGTATGCTTTGTAGCTAGTTTCCAAATAATTTATATTTGGTAAATGGATTCAATGAAGTCTGCTAGTTGTATAACGACTTAGCTATCTCCAGAGTGGAGTTTTATAGCTTCGTATTATTGAAAAAATCAATTACAACTAATTGTGATATTTGCATGACTTAGAAATTACGTTAATCTCGTTAAGTAACTCTTCTCATTAAATTACGTGTTATATATGAACATTTGATTTGTTTAGCAATGAATTAATGATAACTTATAAAAACTTTGTTTTAACAATTATGCCATTGATTTTTGGCTTTAAATAAGTAATTCCCAACAAAATATGTGAATATTATTCAAAATATTCCACTTATTTCCATCACGAATTGAATCGTCCCTTGTGTTGTGGAATCTATCGCTAAAACGAAGCATTCATCTGGTATTTCCTGGTTTCCAATGTTTCTCTTGGTAATGTCGTTTCTTAATTCAAAAGATTGAACTTCAAATATTATGTTATCAAAATTGCCTATTCATGGAAACCTAACCTATTTCTTCTTCTTTGAATGAGTTTCAAACAATTCAAATGTGTTTTCTTTTGGAATAACAATGTTGATTTGAATTATCGGTCACTGATTTCAGTTGTTGCCTTCGTAAATCATTCAATCTATTTTATACTAACTGATCGCTATGTAGTAAACCATATCATTTCTTTTAGTTCTTAATGCTGATCAAATTTCTTCGATTTAGTTAGAAGATACTCATTAGTCTAAGTGATTTTATTTGGATTCCATGATATTTTGACTTTGGTTTTGGTGACGATTTCAGTTTTGCGAAAAGTTTGCTTATAGTTGGTTTGCCAACAGCAACTTATCTGATTGTGATAGTAGGTTATATGAGTTCGAATATTACCAGAAGCATGACATATATCAGTCTAATAGACTTCCATTGGCCACATTTTATTACTATTAGTCAAACATTTGTATGCTCCTAATGTCCTCATTCATATTGTTGAACTGCTGCATATGTAAAAGGTGTATAACAAACTGTCTCTGATTGTATTGATTCTCATATGCCTGAGTGTTAGTCAGTTGAACTGAGTCAAACAGACTAAGTCACCTATAAAGTGTTTTCTCACTTATCACGTCCAAACCTCGTTACATCGAAGCGTCAACTTGTCCATGATTCCCAGACATCTTGCTGATGGATAACATCTATCATGAAATCTTAATCGAAACTCCCTTGTAAACTGGCTGTAACACTTCTAAGATCAATTTACTTTACTGTTCTCTTGAGTGTTTGGAAGTTATTTTTAATGATGATGAGTTGATGAGAAATAAATAAGTTGCCACTTGATTACAGAAAAAGTGTTCCTACAGTCTTCCCTATTTATGACAATAACAACATTACTCACAATCAGTCGATTATTTTTATTTCCCCCCCCCACCCAAGATCTTCATGCTTACTATGCTTGGGTTTTCGCTCGATCTGGCTTACTTCTCACATCACTTAATCCAACAAACAACCATGAAATTCGATTACAGACCACTTCACTTACAAACAATAGTAATAATGCCAATAAATCAATAATCTGTCCAGTCGCATTACAAGCTGATTATCTAGATGGAGTTTTAAATACCCCTCAACTAAATGATCAAGCAACAGGAATGAATGATTTATTTGGCTCATTGTATTGGATATGGAATGATAAAAATGCATTATACCAATCACTTGAATCTAGTCCATTGGCACATCAAAAACTTTTAAACATGGAACAACCAAATATTTCATCATATTCCATAAATAAGCAAGAATCGCAATTAACTGTAAGTTGGCTATATGTTCATGAAGTTAATCACTACCCTTTATTATTATTATTATTATTATTATTATTATTATTATTATTATCGTTATTATTATTATCATCCAGAGCTAACAAGACGTATCTCCAAATGCCACTATTTATTAGATAGATTGTATAGAGACTGAGTATGGCATACGAGGTTGTGTGTGGTTGGCCATTGGTAAACAGCTTACAACTTAAAAAACAGACGAGAACCGGTAGTCACCAAGTTTCGGTAATATCATTCAGAATCCTTTAAGTAAAAACTGAAATAAACTCCCTGTACAGTCTAAAATATCAGTTAGTGAGGACTTTATTTAGATGATTGAAAGAGATACAAATACGATAAAATTTGGAAATGATTACCATTTTTCATTGGTTTGTCATCCCAGTATTGAAATGGCCAAACAATAACTTCAATTCTGAAGAATTTTATGGTTGCTCAGTACCACCGACTTTATAAAACAGTATTGGACAACTATTTGATTTTCTCTGTCCCCACTAATTTCTCAAATAACTCCATTTTGTGAAGACGGATTTTGAAATTATGATAAAGTGGAAATATTCCGTGCTATTTTGAACAAGGTTTCATATAATTCCTGTAGATTATTAACTCCTGTAAAAGTTATACGAGAACATGATGTCAGAAAAGAACTCTGTTGATCCTAGCAATTTATACTAACATTTTGAACATGGTAATTTTTATCACAGACTGATATTATTAGCCAGAAAAGTATTGAAAATCAAAGAGTATGGAACAGCTATTTTATGTTAGTTTGAAACTCCTCGGTTGGCGTGTACACTTGGTCTTGTCATGATTAAATCTGGAACATTCAGGTTTTTCTCCAGTCTCAACAAAATACAACCACTGAGTTGGAAGGCAATGATCTAAATTTCTAAAATAACGAATAAAGTGAAATTTAAATCTATGATTTGCATAAGCATGGACTCTTTAGAATTAATGATCTCTACATCATACTAGGCTCATTTTATCTCTACAACTTTAAGTATCATCTTTTAATTTTCTGTTCTTTGACATTGTCTAGTGAGCTAGTTTTGAGCCACTAAACTTATCACTACTAAAAATAACTAAACTAAGTGAAAATCAACCGCTAAACAATCGTAAGCATTCATTTTATACGGGATACGTAGATTTTCAAAATTATTCCGCTTAATAGTCACATAATTAAGCTCAACCAATTTCGTGAATGCGACCATATACCCCACATATTTATGAAGTTATTTAAAACAATAATTTAAACTACTTATAACCATAAATAAATAATATATTTGTAATATCCCAATGAGTAGAAAAATTAGATTTTCTGACGTTTCGTGACTCAGTGTAAGCCACTTCTTCAGAGAATAAATAACCAAATTAACATTAATCCAAGTTTAAATAGTACAACGGAACAATCCAAGAATATTAGGTGATCAATCAAAAAAAATCACTGTCACGTCATTTCATTTCGGTCAAGGTGATTCATAAGCGACATGTATGTAATTTTGTGTGTATGTATGCACTGTTAATAATGAAAACTGTGTGACCTTTGTAATGACAAAGGATAGAGTTTAATTTGTAATGTAATGGTGTGAAATTGTAAATAATATTAGACTGGTTGACTAGGATAGATGGTCCAAGTAGGCTGTATGGTAAGGCATTCCTTTCTATTGAGAGCTGTGGGATTAAGCATTATATGGAAAGCTTCGGCTACTCTTCTTTCTTTGTAGTTAGAAAAACCTTTCTGTAGTATTTTGATATTTTCGAAATCAATTTGATGACCGTTGAAAATGGCGTGAACTGCTATTGCTGATTTAATCTGAAGTCTTTCTAATTCTACAGGATTATTAGGTGGTTTCTTTGTGTACCTGATATGTTCTTTAGCGCGAGTTAAGATTTCGCGAGATGACTCTCCAATATAGAAGGCATCACAATCGACACAACCTAATTTGTAGACGCAGTTCTGTGTAGATATGAATGGTATTTTTTCTTTTAATCGAACTAAAGTATTTCGGAGTGTGTTAGTTGTTTTGTAATATACTTTAATTCTGTGTTGTCTTAATATCCGTTGGAGTTCTTCAGTTGTGCCATGACGGTATGGTAAGACTGCAGTACCAATCCATGGCATTTCATTCGAATTATTATTATTATTATTATTGCGTACTGAATTGTCTTGTTTTAATATACTTCTAATAATCTTCATAGGAAAATTATTAAATTGTAAGATGCTAATTATATTCTTTTGTTCTTTTTGTTTGTCCTCTTCTGAAGAGATGATCTTGTTGGCTCTTCTAACAAGATTTAAGGCTAACGAAATTTTAGCACTGAAAGGATGTGCTGAATGGAAGTCGATGTAACGATTAGAGTGTGTGGGCTTTCGGTAGATGGATAAATTTAGAACTCCATTTATATTTCTTTTCACTAAGCAATCTAAGAACGGTAGCTCTCCATGTTCATTTTCATTCTCATTCGTGAATTCGATGTGAGATGAAAGTGTATTTATCCGTTTTGAAAACGATCTTAGATGCGTCTTTTTTATTACTACAAATGTGTCATCTACATATCTGAGCCAAATTCGTGGTTTAATTTCGTTGGAGAAAATCTTTGATTCTATGTGTGTCATAAAAAGATTGGCCACAATCGGGGACACGGGAGGACCCATTGCTACACCATTTGTTTGTCTGTATAACGTTCCGTTAAAGGTGAATAGAGTTGAATGTAAGCAGAGTTTTAACGATCTCATGATTAAACTGATGCTTAAAGGACATCTGTTCGATAGAGTAATGTCATTCTCTAGTAAGCCACTAATGAATTCTAAGCACACATCAATCGGAATACTAGTATATAAAGATACAACATCAAAGCTTACCATGACTTCATTCTTTTCAATAATTAAATCCGATAATTTTGATTTAAAATCATATGTATCTTTAATCATATTATGTACGTTAAGCTGTAGTGGCTTTAATATGTTGCTTAGATATTTAGATAAAGCATATGTTGGTGTTTTTTTTTCTACTCATTGGGATATTACAAATATATAATTTATTTATAACAATCTACCCAATGCTCAATTTATTCAAAATTATCAAATCAAGACTTGGTAATGATACCTGCTTATAACCATATATCAGTAGGCTTTGATTTCTAAATAAAAAGCAAATTCATTCTTGATTATTTCCTCATTACACATAGAATGGTTTGAGACAAGTCAAATAGAAATCAAAACTTTCACCACAAGATTGTGTATGAACTATTTTCTATTGCTCTTCGATCATATCAATTATCATTTGGATAATAAGTTAGTCCTAATCAATGATAATAATAAATTTTTAATATCCCAGTGAGTGGGAAATCGAATTTTCAACGTTTCTCAATTCAGTTTATTATTTCGTAAGACGATAAACAACCGTTTATGTTGAAGTTGAAATGCGTATTAGAATTAAGTGCTTTAAAGTGTAATAAGTTTAATTTTCTTCAGTTATTCTGTAGTCAAAGAATCACCTTCGAAATGTTGTTATTCTTACAAACTTTTTCCTCAACCGAACTAACTAAACGTCCTCTGAAGAGAAAAGACTCTTAATTTAATGACTGGAGGCCTTATAGTCTTTATTTTCCGTTTAAGCCATTCTCGGTAGACTCTTAATGTGTTTTTTTAAAGCTTTACATGTTCTAACTTCAATCACTCGTCTTCTTAGCTTATCCTAATAATCATATTAGAAATCTTTTATAAATTGTTTATTTCAATTTACAGACTCAACATGAATCATTACACAACATGATCAATTCGTTTAATTCATGTTCCTCTAAATTCATTCCATATCAACATAAACATGATCATTCAACCTCTGTGGAAAATAAAAATTCATCTAATAGTTTATTTCGTTTAACTACAGAATTTAGTAGACGACGTATAATACCACCACGTCGAAGAAAAACCGTCACCGGTGTAAATTTGCCAAAAACACCTAATATTGAACATTCGAATGAGATAAAATCTTCTCCAACCAAAATACAACATAATGTTAAACATCTGACACATGATTCAAGTATGGATACTAGACAGTTCTCGAATCTATCAAAGCCTCAGTCTATTTCCCATTTAACATTGAACGAAGATCACTTTTGTCCTGTTCCTCTGAATCAAAGTAATAATAACAATAATACACTATCAAGATGGCGCCCATGGATTGCACAATCAAACTTGCTGACACATTCAACGAGTACATGTCCTCTACCTGTTGCATCTTCTCTTTCTTCGACCACAAACCTACAAATGTCTTCATCTCCTGTTCATGCCAATACAGTAAACTGTTTACAAGTATTAGTAATGAATGAAGAAACGAATCAACTACAGTCGTTAAATTATCCAATAAGGCCAAATATGACAGCTAGAGAGCTAAGTGAGTATATTTACATTCTAGCTGTGCATTCTGTATACAGTTACTTGTTTACAAGAACAAAGATACTCTATAGGAACAAGTCTCATCATGAATTGATATCGCCTAAGGATTTATAGAGGACCGGAAAGTATTAAACGAATTTTTTTTATTAGTCTCCATGCCTTAACAGTGTACATCAACAACCTCGTTAAAGATGAAAACTAGAACTTTCAAGACATGTAATCAGCTATCAACATTTAGATTAAATGCCCAAATTGAAAACTTCTACCAACTTTTAATAATAAATGACAATTGTTCAATGTCATTGTTAAAACCCTGTTTTTACTATCAACAATAAGAATAAGATTGAATGAATATGATAGAAAACATCTACAAAAACAATTATATTTTAATTGAAACAATTAGATGATATATAAACAAAGGCATATTCAGATTGTTTGTCAAAGTATTTATATTATCGAATTCCGTAAACACGGTCATGTAAAAAGTCACTTGGTATTGTTTGTTTGAATCTTCCCATTGATGCTTAGGATTGCAATTGGCCAGTCTCTTATTGGCATATGTGAATATTGTGCGTATTGCTTCGATATAATCTTAATTCACAAGCATTATAAGCAGAGATAAATGGTGGCTAGCAGTGGAATCCAGGAAGCTAGTTTTGTCCTATTCGGGACTCGTCAGCTGAATGTACCTGCATCTAAAAGTTGATGTTCACTCTAGAACTTGAACCCAGTACCATTCACTTCAAACGCTTTCGCATTATCTCAACATATAAATATTGGTACAAAGGAGCACCAGATATATATGCGCCACACAAATCTTTTTTGATTTGTGTGTGGGCTGTGATACTGCTCGGGTGCCCAAACCGAAGCAGGAATATCAACTTTACAATCATTTAAAATAAGTAAAACATTTTGTAAATTTTTTTGTTATAGAAATATGAGTTGATGAATCCATGCAATATGATCTCATCTAAATAAGGTTTACAAATCTCTCAGGAAATATGATATTATTTAGTTAATACATAGAAATATAGTTTTCAAATTCTTCAATTCCATTCAGTTTATGATGCAATGAACATGTCATCTATTGTCATGTGTTATTTTATTATCTGTCAAATTATATTGTTCCTTATGTTCTTTTTTTGTCTTCAATCAATGTTATCATGTTTATTAGGTGACATGGCTCAGAATTGATCACAATGGTGCAGGTTTATACACTCTTTATCTTCCTTTAAACCTTGAGATTAAAATTGCTTCATACTTGTCTTCCTCCTTATACTATATCCTTATATACAACCTATCTTTTATGTACTACCACCACTAAATTAACTACTTCTATGAATTTGGTGTTCATCTTGTTGTGCTAATGAGGTATGACAACTTGGACCGATGCATATATGTGCCTGGTCCTACGTTTTAGCTAACTGACTGACTGATCAATGTTTATTATTTATTCACTTTGCACATACTTATTTGTTTTATTTACTTCTTTTCAGATAATCTGATAGCATTTCAAATGAGAATATTTGATTCAAAAGATTTTGGATTATTTGTTTACATCAATGGAACAGGTAATAATTTTTAGCTTGTTTCTTTTTTTCTAGAAATTAAATGTTTGTATTCTTTCACAAATCACTGTGTAACTTATTTAGAGTATTACATTGTATTATTTTTATGGTTTTTATTTGAGGTGCTAATAGTCCTTAGAAGATATTACTAAGTATAAGTAACTTGACTGGAAAATTGAAAAAACTAATACACATAGTGATACTGAAACGTTGGCACAACTACGAAAGTCATCATCCAGAAGTTACTGGTGTTTATTAACAGTTGTCTACGCAAAATACTTCGGATCCGTTGGCCAGACACTCTCTGCAACATTCTACTGTGGGAGGCAATAAACCAGATCCCAGTGTAGGAAGAAATGAGGATGAAACGTTTGAAGTGGATAGGACACACATTGAGGAGATCACCCAAATGCGTCACAAGACAAGCCCTCACATGTAATCCTCAAAGTCAAAGGAGAAGAGGAAGATCGAAGTACAAATTACGCCAAGAAATGGAGACAGACATGAGAAAAATGAACAGAAATTGGATAGAACTAGAAAGGAAGACCCAGGACAGAGTCGGTTGGAGAAAGCTGGTCCGCGGTCTATTATCTATTGGGAGAAACAGGTGTAAGTAAGTAAGTAATAGAGGGAAAATTGAAATTCACGAGGAAGCTTTAATGCCTCAATCGGCGATGTATTGAGTGCTTGAAACTAAAAGTATTGAATTCACATTCTGATGTTAACCCCAATATATAAGTACAATTATATCTATCTGATGAGTTCCAAGTAAGAATAAACGCGCTTCTTGAACTTCGATGCTAGCCATGATCAATCTTTACTTAGATACTTGTAACTCAATGGCAGCATTAAGACAATCCGCTCAGGAAGATATATGGCAAGTGAAACATAATAAAATTCAGTCGATAATATCAACAACGGAAAAACTAAAACAATTACATTATTACCAGTATACTAACAAACCCATACAAAAATAAATTGTGTGCTTCAAAGCTGAGTATATGAGCTTGTACATGATTACTAAGTTGAACTGAAATGAAAAAAGAATCTACAACTGAAGTTCTATATCATTTATGTACTGTTGATAAATTCAATCAATTCACCACCCACTGGTTTTTATTAGTGTTTAGGAATTATCATTTTTATACTCAAGACAAAGTTCATTTAATAAATAAGAAATAACGTTACTATTATTATTACTGATATTACTATAAATGTTTCTCTGATGAATTTAATGTGTTTATTTTTATTCAACACCAATGACATTATCTAACATCACAATGGATGATTTTCTTGACCAAACCAAACTGTTCATAGGAAATTCAATAATCTTTAATTGATAGAATAAAATTTAAATAAGTTCCAATATCAGTTTACTTCATTTTCATACTCAAAACAAAAAAAATTCAATGTATATAACTTAAATTCACTTGGTATTGTTTACTTAAATCTTCCCATCGATATTTAGGACTGCAATTGGCCAGTCTCTTATTGGCATATGTGGATATTGTGCGTATTGCCTCGATATAATCTTAATTCACAAGCAGTATAAGCAAAGATAGACAGTGGCTAGCAGCGCAGTCCAGGACGCACGTTTCGTCCTATATGGAACTCCTCGGCAAGTGGCTATCAGGACTCAGTAGCTGAGTGGATAACGTGATGGCATTTCAAGCGAAAGGTACTGGGTTCGAGTCCCAGAGTAAACATCAACTTTGACATGCAGGTACATTCAGTTAAAGGGTCCGGAATAGGACGAAACGTGCGTCCTGGATTCCACTGCTAACCACTATCCATCTTTGCTCATATAACTTACTTTTTTATAGTATTTCTAGAGTTAATTTAATTACTAATAAGTTATCAACTCAAACAAAATTTACAGGTACTTTGTAATTGTACTTTTATATAAATGGTTAAAACATACTAATGAATACTTAAGTTATTGCTTATTTTGTCGCTTGTAGATAAAAAATCTAAACGTAATACTTCGTAATTTAATAATTGAATCAATCATTCGAATAAAGCTAGACCACCATGGAAAACCTGGAAGCACTGGATGGTCGTTTCGTTCAAGTACGGACCCCTCAGCAGAGCTCATCCACGATCCCTCTCGATAGATCGATAAGAGAAATAGTTATTCCTGACTTTAAAAAAATTACTCTTTTTATAACAAGGTATCTAAGCTAAATCATACTGGAACACCAATAAAATCTTCCTATATATATGAGAATTTTTAAAAATCTGATAACTCTAAAATTAGTAACCTTGTAACTAGTGACCTTATGACTTAATATCAGGTCTATTATAATCAAGATAAAAGAAAATAGACATTATAAACCCCGTTAGTTACTATGATCTCAGCATCTATTGTAAGACTTCATGCAATCCTATTTATCTTGTCTAACTTACATATAGTATCGGCTTTTCATGAATTCATAATATCATATAAATTAGTTTGTTAGATTTTGACATTCTCTGATTAACTGAAAGTTTTGTTTGTTTTTTTCTCTTTGAAAGAAATTCAACTGGAAGATGAATTACGAATAGCTGAGTTTACTAGTTCAAATTCAGATGTTTTATATTCAGCACATATACTTCCAACAACAACAACAATGGCCACACCGTCACGTTCACAAACCGGTACACCTATTTCACTTAAAGACCGTGAAAAATTTCCATTCAAAAGTCATATTTCTATCAGTTCACATTCTGATTCCACTACTAGTAGTTCATCTGAGTTCCGATCGCGAACAGTATCACATCGTTCGGGAAAGTCAAATCGAAATCGTGCTGCTTGGTGGACAATGTGTAAATCGAATGGCCAGTCAAAGCATCAGTTAGTAGTGCCAGTTCAAGATTCAGCTTTTAAAAACACTTTAGAATATCAGGAAAATTCAGGCTTGCATAAACCAGTGTTAGTTTATAAACGTAAATCTGGCTATTTTGCCTTATCTGACCGTCTTTTGGGATCAGGATTAAAATTTATCAAACAACAAAACCTAGAATTGTCTTCCCCTGAGCAATCGTAACTGTGTAAAATAAATCAAAAGAGTTTCGAATGATTTAAAAATTATAATCTCCTGTAATCAACGGAACTCCCAAAATTTTCACATTTCAGGACCCGAAATGTATTTCAGAAAATATTTCACTGAATTTATACTACTTATAAATTAAATCAGTAGTAAAAAGTAACAAATTAAAATATATTTTACAGACAAAATGCCTCGAATCGATTTAAACAAATCTTTGCAATTATGTGCATTTAATCGGACCAGATTTTTTTTATTTGTCGTTTAGCTACAATCAACTAAATTGTTCAACAATCTGGTCCAGTAGATACACGAATACATAGCATTATTCATAATAACATTTATTTTGATTTTAGCTTTCATTTCATAATATGACTGACTTCACTAAAAATTTGTGCTTACGATGCTCTTACTTATTAAAGCCTATTTGAAAGTAAACTAATAAAATGATGGCAGTTCTTTCTGTGTAATCTTTCTTTTTAAATAATTTGTTTTCTTCATATATATACATATATTCTTGTTGGAAGTTATAATTATAATTTTCCCATTGAGATTTTTACTTGCACACGTTACCTGTTATTAGGAAAACACAGCGTCAGCATTTCACGGATGAATCATATGACGTTGAACATATTGTTACCTAATACAAAAATCTATTTGGACGAGTACGTAAGTTTACACTGAGGAAATTAAACTTAAAATTCCTACAGAAAACAAAATTATGTATAAGACACAATGAGGAGAATATGATTGAAACTGGTTAACAAGAGCAAAATGAAAGAATCCTCTCTAGGCCTAGGTTGCCCAAAATCATAAGCATGATATCATGCACATCTTATTGCCACTACTAAAAGGCATATTTTACTTTGGTTAAGGTTTCTTAGCCTTAGAAAATGATTGGAATAAAACCTATGAACTGACATTTGAATATTTTGACTCTTACAAGTAAAATGATAGTTGAAACTTCTACATAACTGATTCTTCTAGATTTGAGTCCTCATAGTTGAGTGCTACAATTTAAGCTGTATTATTCAAGTGATAAAAAAGGAATCAGCTTGATAGAGTTATATTATAGTTTTCTACAGCATATTAAACGTCAGGGTAGGTGATGCTTTCATAGATATTATCAATAAATCTTCTTGAATTTCGCTCATGTCCACTACTCAACTTAAAATCTTTCAGCTTTACACTTTTATACTTCCTTAAATTAAATATCCTAAATTAAATATCCTATAAACTTTGTCGATTTGTTGTTCTTTCCCTTTCTTATTCATTTGAGTGGAAATCTTAGAGAAAATCAACCTTTATTATCAAGGATTCACCAGTAAAACGTCAGTGAAATAGATGAATTAATTTTTACAAGTGAATTTCTTATTAACAGTAGAGTACATTTATAATCTGTTAAATTAACGCCACGATCAAATCAAAGTCTAAAGGCAAGTGATATTTTGTAAACATATAGCATCAGATGTAGTTTGACAAACTAGCCACTTAAATACTGAGATTCCACGTGGTATGTGCACGGTTTAGATACTGTGATGACATTAATTGTGTGTATTATTCAGTATATCATTCATAAAGCATAATTTGTTTAGACATTTTCTCCAAATAAGCGTAGAAAGAAGTAAGATTTTATTTAATTGCACCACAGATGTGGAACGTTTCACGTTTCTTTGCATTTAGATAATCCAATTTCTACCACATTATTGAAACGAAATCGTTCTTTTCACTTTTTCTGACTAAGAGATTGATATTTGGGACTAATTTTGCAATTTTATACTAAAATGTAGAAGTCATACTACCGTGAACCTCATTGTTTTGGTAGTACAATATGGCCCAATCGGTCCAATCATATATGTTTGGATTTGATTAAAACTTATAAATATGATCAGAATTAAACATGATTATTTAGTGTTGGAGTATTCTGTACCTCTAAAGATTTGAAAAGATTTCGAATTTACCAAACGTTATTGAACAAAGTAAATTATTGATGCAGATTCTACTTTTTTTATGTCATATCAGGTGTTGCATTTGAATACTCAAATACATGTATAACTAAAAAAAACTACTTGGGTAGATAAATTTGTACTTACAAAATAAAAAATGATGCAACCCAAATCAGGTAGTACAATAAGTTAGACGGTCACTCCTTCCACCTGTAACGTATATTATCAAGTGACTGTAAGAGTTTGTTCAGAGGATTAAGGGGCATTTTGTTTTATTAGAATAACACAAGAAATGCCCCAGTGAGTTTATGTTTGATATCTTTCTTGGAATCGTTTCTTTGTTATACGCATTCACTTTTAACATTTTTATTCTCTAAAGCACATTTTGCTCTAGTTTTAATCAAGCTATTTCATCACAATAATCTGAATAATCATTTTTTTACTAATTGGAATCTGAAAATTGAATGAGATCTAATTATTTTTGTTTTAATTGCTTAACATTTATAGTTTACTATTTATCTTTTATCTTTCAATCTGTGTTCTATATTTGAATTATGTTAATATGTCACGAATAAAATGATAGAAAATGCATTCAATTAGTATTGTTTATTTGAATCATCCCATTGATGCTTAGGACTGCAACTGGTCAGTCTCTTATTGGCCATATGTGGATACTCTGCGTATTGCCTCGATAAAACCTGAATTCGCAAGTATTATAATCAAAGATGGATATTGGCTAGTAGTGGAATCCAGGACGCGTGTTTCGTCTTATTATGGACTCTTTAGCTGGATGTACCTGCATCTCAGAGTTGATGTTCACTCTTCAAACGCCATCGCGTTATCACCCCATTTCACAAGCAACTGGCTATCAGTACTCAGTAGCTGAGTGGATAACGTGATGGTTTTCCAGGCGCCATGTATTGGGTTCGAGTCCCAGAGTAATTAATAAAGTATACAGTTTCTACAAGTATTCTGTTTATAAAAGTAGAAGTTAACAGTTAGTGATATCACTAACGCATTTGAGACCTTTCAAGTAGTTGGGACAGCGAATAATTCAAGTAAACTAAACATAAGTGTTGAAAAATTTATTTCTAAGCCATTTGTAAAACTTGAGTAAGGCACCTATCAAGTGGTTAATAGCAAGTTATAGTGAAGTTCAAATTGGGGTCAGCACTGTGAATACATGTAACACAGAAAGTAAACAGTTTGTAATCAGAAGAGGTTTTGTGACTGACTTCAAGAGATAATTCCTGAAGTTCTAATGAGAAGTGACCAGTGGAATTCAAACCACGTCTGTTGTAAGATATCAACTCACTGAAGAAAATTGGTGAACGGTTGTTCAACTTCGTGGATAGGTTGAAGTTAGACATTAACACCATCGGATGCTGGCTCAGTGGTCTATCGCTTAAGTGCTATGGTGTGAGACTGGTAGATTCTGAGTTCGAATCTCGTAAGGCGAGGTTGTGGATGCGCATTGCTGAGGAATCCCACAATAGGATAAACGGATATCCAGTGCTTCCAGGTTTTCCATGGCGGTCTAGCTTCAATTGATTCATGCTCTCAACTATAAACAGTTTGTGTTCAGTTACACGTAAAGACTTTAAGTCGATAGACTGGTAAAATATCATTCTATTAGTTGACTCTACTAAAAAAAGTGGTCGAGCTTCACTTTCTTCTACCTTTCTGATGTACGATATATATTTATAAGATAATTTTTCTACCTACATATTAGTTGAGTTTTATGAACTATTATACACTCATATTAGAAAAACCTGTGAAAATACTACAATCTCCACAAATCCCCCATACTGTTAGCAATCATGTTCTCACTAGTGACTAGCTTTAAGATTCAACTCCTGGAGATTTTATTAGAAACTGTGACCAGTGGAGTCCGATATGTATCATGTGTGAGACAGTTATTCACCACGAGTCGTGGATGAAGAGTTGCTTAAGATCATAGATTGATTGAAGTTAGACATTAACACCGTTGAATACTGACTCGGTGGTCTACAGGTTAAGCGTTGAAGGTCTTAGATTCAAGTCCCACTTGGGGAATGATTGATGTGAAATGCTAAGGAATCCTATACTAGGATGCAATGTCCATTCGGTACTCCCGATTTCTAATTGATGGTCTAGCTTATATGAACACGTGATTTCAAATGTGTAAACATTTGTCATCATATATCATCCAGCGATGTATTCGATAAAATTTAATGAAACTTGACGATTTCGTGAACAAATAAGATTACAATTTATCTTACTTAGAGTTGCGTGTTTTGGCCGTTAATTCAAGTGTATTTGTATCATTGATATACCTGTACTTAATATTGTTTTATGGACTAAGTAGATGAAGTCCGGGAGTCAACATGAGACCGGATACATGGATTTTTAAGCTAACTAAGAAACGTGTCCGTGATCTCAACATGTATATCCTTGATTTCATTACTTCTAGTCAACATTCCCATAGATTTTAGATAATAAACGCTAACACCGAAGTTATCTATTATTCTTTAAAACAAAAAAAAATCATTTCATGACTTTCAATAGTAAACAGTTCAACTTACAAAATAATTCCTATTTAAAACGAATTAATTGACCAACTAATTATCATCACCAAGAATTGAATGAATAATAAACATTTTTGTTAAAGATAGTGAGAGAAAGAAAGACAAAACAGATAAAAAGTCCCAATAAATCAAAAACATTTTTATACTCTAAATTAGTAATCATAATAATAATAATAATAATTGCACAGCCATTAATTAAACCAATGAAAGTATAATGATGAAAACTGTTTCATCGACACCATCGTGGAGAAATAAACCTAGACGATAGTGAAACAACAATTAAGGGGGGGGGTATAAGATCAAATCCATAAAAAATATTTGAGAATAAATATCATTGTAGGCATGGAAAGAAAAACCGAAGAAATCAGCATACGTCACTAAAAAAACAAACCATATATATATATATATTCTTAGAAAAAAATATCCTTTACTGTTAATGAATAAAGCAATGACAATGGTAGTACAAATGATGACTACAAGAGATTATTTAAAAAAAAAAGAAAGGTAAATGAGAATAATTAAGTGTAAGGAAGAAAGAACAGAGTTTTAAGAAAAGGTAACTACTTGAAAACACTGGTTCATATATATTTATTTATTTATTAGTGGTTGTGTTGTTTTGCTTTATTTTTTTTCTGAGAAGAATGTAGATGTTAAGTGGTTGGTTGAAAGATCAATGAGGGAAAAAAACAATTTGATATATTGAATGATCGATAGTGTATAAAACTTTAAAATACCCGATACATTTGTAAATAGCAATATACACAGAGATATTATATCTATATATTTATGTATATTGAAGCAATTTATATCTAAGTGACTTATAAGAGCTATTTTTGATATGTGAATTTATTCGATATGTAACGTATAAACAAACAAAAAAAATGTGAATTTCATTGTTATTTTATAGAATGATATAATTATTATTATCGATTTACATCTGAAGATTTTCCTATAATGCTAATTTCTGGCATTAAACATAATTCTGATAATGAGTCAATCGATTTATCATGTCGGCTATTAGATGAATGTTGACGATGATGATTTCGTTGAGTTGAAGAAGAATTTGATTCTGATCTCATTAATCGTCTATCATTTATACTATCATAATTTGTATTATGTTGTCCATCGGTAAACTGAATTGACAATAAATAAAATAAAAGAGGATAATTTACACTTGAAAATTAATTTGAAAATTTTAATTTCATAATTCATTTCATCATTTATTCATCTGAAAATATTTAACCATGAGAATAAATTAAAAATTAATTTTAGAAAACGTTTTAGTTCAAGTTTTGAAAAAGAAAAAATCTATGATTGAAATCATGAATCAATTGAAGCTAGATAACTATTGAAAACCTGAAAGCACTGAACGATTGTTTGGTTCTATTGTGGTACTCCTTGGCAGTGTATATCCATGATCCCATCTCGCAGGATTCGAACCCAGGACCTATTAGTCTCGCGCGCGAGCACTTTACCTTTAGGCCGGCTCTTTGGTCCTGGGTTCAAGTCTCGTGCGGCGGGATCATGGATGCGCACTGTTGAGGAGTCCCGCAATGAGACGAAACTGCCGTCCAGTTCTTCCAGGTTTTCCATGATGGTCTAGCTTTAATTGACTCGTGGTTTCATTTAAAATATATTTATGAAATGAGCAATAATTCATTGCTACTGAGATTAGTTTTCTATGATATTCCATTTGTGTATAATATGTCACATAGATAATAAAAGAGAAGATAATTTACAATCTACACTTAACTGATTGATATCAATGACTTAGTTAGTTGATCATTTCAAAAGAAATAACAAAACAATTAACTAAACTATCATCAAGTAATTGATTTAAATGTTTTCTCAATGATTCTTATTTTCTATTAATTATCTTCAATCAATAATCAATTTGAGAATTCTTATTGTAAACAAAACCTAAATAAATTTTTACCTTTAATGAATCAACAATTGTAACTTGATTACTTTACATAGGCAATCTGAATTCAGTTTAATTCTTGTTCAATATTCAAAAAGTAATATCAAATAGTAATTAGTTTATGACAATGTTTACAGCTTATTATCTTTATTTTGATGACTAAATAGTTTGGAATTGAAAAGAAATCTGTTGTTATAATAAACTATAGAGAATATGCTATGGGAACAAATTTACATGAAAACACTTTTCTAATAGAGATTCTATTTAAAATATAGAATTTATTCTTTCATTTTTTGTTTAAAGCATAGTTCAACAAAATCATATCATGATTAACTCATTGAATAATAGAAACTAATGTATGATATAAATTGGTTATTAAAATACTCAAGAATTTCATTCAAATGGTTCACAAATTTTCCTCTCATAAACTCGGTTCATTGACTATTTAATGAGTTTATACCTAACTATTGTGTAACTATCTGTAATCATTTCACAAGTATATATAAAACTTGTTAAATAGCTCAAATATTTTAATGGTCAGTAGAATGAACGTATTCATTTGTAGCTAAACTAGCCTACTCTAGCCTACCTATTTTAAATTTTATAGAAAAGCTCTCAACTAAAGCTTTTACAAATGTTTCAGTCTATTGATTTAAAAATAGATTCTTGATTCTGATTTTTCTATTGATTAGTGAATAAGGGTGACAAAATATCCAATGTCATTCTTAGCCTCTCTCTCACTCTCTCTCAATCTCTACAATGTAACATAGCTTTATCGTATTCATCAGACTGTTAGTTGTTCCATGAAAAATCACTTTACTTAACTTACTCATATATTATTCTTAAACTTCAAAGCTAATCAAAATAATGAGATAGATATTTGTATTCTTGTGAAACCAGATGTAAACCACTTCCAAAGTACCAATTTATCGGACAAACTATGAGTTAAATTTCTAACTGTATTCTAATAATTAAAAGTCAAGTGCTTTAACTATTCATTCTTTACTTTGTTTTACTATAGCCAATGATTTAAATGGTTACCGAGCAAGTTTAATCATAATTCCATGTGTTTTACTCATTAACGTTACACAAATTTATCAATGATCAGAAAAATAATTAGTCAGATTTGTTTCATACAAAATTAAGTAAAAACAATGCCGATTGATGGTATTCTTGTCTTGATAAAATAAATAGTGAATAAATAATATAGTTGAAATCACGAGTCAATTGAAGCTAGACCACCGGGGAAAACCTGGAAGCACTGGACGGTCGTTTCGTTCTATTGTGGGACTCCTCAGCAGTGAGCATCCATGATCCCGCCTCACGAGATTCGAACCGAGTACTTATCAGTCTCCAAGTTTTCCATGGTGGTTTAGCTTCAATTGACTAATGATTTCAACTATATAAAATTACTAAAATTTCCACAAATCCCCCTTCTGAGAATAAATAATAATCAACATTAAATGCAATTCCACCAAACTTGTAAAAAAGAAACTTAGTATTACTTCTCCTCACCTCTGTGAATATAGTTGTTTTGCTTAAATCTGTTTTCCGTCCGCTTACATCTCTTCTTAAATCACCATATCTTGAAATTGATGGAAAATTATTTTTACTTCGACAAATGTCCATACCATCCTCTTTACAACCAGTGTTGTTATTATTATTATTAGTACTATTATTATTATTATTATTTGCTATGGTATATCGTGAAGTAGATGGTGATTCCATTGTTAACATACAAGGTGATATTAAAGATGTTTGAGAATGTGCTGGTGTCAATAAATCAACTGCCGCTTCATGTGCTTTATTCAATTGAGACCAGACGATCGCTTGTTGATTAGACATTTCCGCATGAGATAGACGCATATTGGATTCTGCTAATTTACTCATTAATTCCATTTCTTTAATTCGTTGACCAACTTTAAACTCTCGATGCTGTTTATCAGTTTTGAGAGAAAAGTGATAATAATAATACAATAACAGAATATTATCAACTCAGCATTTCAGTGAAATAATTTAAGTGCAATCAACTTATAATTAGGCAACATAAACTGATAACTAAATTCTAAGGTGTTGTAAACTGATCACATACCTGACCAACCATCACTAATTAGCTGGAAATAATGTGACTTAGAAATCTGAGAACATTTTTAAATGATCTCAGTTCAGTGCATTCAAATAGTTACGAAATTTTATTGTAGACTCAGTCAGTCAGCTACAACGTAGGATCAGGCACATACATTCATCGGTCCAAGTTCCCAGACCTCATTAGCGCAACAAGATGAACACCAAATTCATAGTAGTTAGTTAAATGGTGGTAATATGTAAAAGAAAGACTTGATATAAGGATATAATACAGGAAGAAAGAATTAGTTCTTAGAAAGAAAGGTATAAAGTGATTGTAATCTCACGCTTTAGGGAAAGACAAATAGTGTATACACTTACGTCATTGTGATCGATTCTGAGCCATGTCACCCAGAGTCTACAATCACCACAGGACCGCAACCAAGTAGCCTGCATCTACCAACATGGCTCAGACCAGAAGTTAGTGACTTCAAGCACTGATGCCACGTTTTAGTTTGGCCGCCCCCAACTCTCTTCCAACGATCCCCTACACTAGTCAGCATAGCGCATCGTGGTAATCGGTGTTCAGGCATACGCAATACGTGGCCCAACCATATCAATCGATGAAGATTTACAAGAATCAACATTATCCCATAATACCCTGCATCCCAGCAGATGCGAGCAATATTTCTAAGACATTTGTGGTCAAATACTAGTAACTTACGATTATCTCCTGCTCTTAATGGCCACGTTTCGCAATCGTAAAGTAGAACAGAACGAACTGCCGCACAGTATACTCATCCCTTAATTGGTAGACGGGTATTTCACCTTCGCCATATGTGACGCAAGTTGGCAAAGGCCAAACGAGCCTTCTGAATCCGTGCTGGGATTTCGCCAGATATCAACCCATTATGGCTGATCAGGCTACCAAGATAAGTGAAGTCGTCGACGCGTTCGACTACTTCACTCCCTATCCTTAGCTCAGGTGTTGACGCAGGCCAGTCCTGAAACAACAACTTGAATTTAGAGGGAGGGAAACACATCCTAAACATCCTGGCATTGTTGCTCAGTGCCACCAAAAGACTCTGCATTTTATCAGCATCTTCACCAAACAGGACTATGTCATTTGCGTATTATAAGTCGATAAGTGGAACTCCTGTAAGTAAATCAATTCCTGAAAATTCGGTCGACAAGAGCGTTATATCCAAGAGTAGATCTATGATGAGACTAAACAGAAATGGAGATGGTGGACAGCCTTATCAGACACCAATTGAGGTTGCTAAATCAGATGACAGTTCGCCATAAGCTCTTAGTGTTCGAGTAAAGAGCCTTCATAAGGTCTATGTACTCCTGCGGTATACCCCAGTACGAGAAACTGATTAATTCACTAAATATTTAATAAAGCCTTTATATTAACTGAAAGTAAGACATTGTGAAGTTTGTTCAATTATTATTACAGTCCTAACCACCTCTCAAGCTGTATTGATAGGATTTTTTGTTTATTTATTCTGGATCAATTATTGTACATTTTGAAATACTGCATTCAATGTTACCTGTTCAGTCTAAATTGACTCTACTACAATAATGTTGTCATAAACTTGATCGCAAGTGACAATATAATAAACAGAGGATGAAAAATAGTATTGGACCAAATACTGAATCATTCAATAAATTAGCAGTATAGTTACTCAGTACTACATGTAACTGAGTTGTTATGGAGATCAAACATTACTTTTTATTTAAGTGACGGAAAAGATTATTCAAAGACATGGAGATTAGTCAAATAGTCTGTAGTTCTAAGACTGACCTACTTAGCTAAACGAAAAGAATACAATTGTTTGTAATTAAGTGACAGAAAGCCTAGACTTTTTTTAATGATAAGTGGCATTTGTTAGTAAAACTTTTATGAAGTCTTAGTAGAAATGCATCGTCCATTGTCACAATCAGAGACATCACTACTAGAAACGGTAATGGAAACTGTTAGTTTCAGCGAAGCGTTCATCAATCCAGCTAGACTTATGCATTATCTTGTCAATTGATGGTTCATTGCCTCAAGATTTTCAGCATTTTCAGGTACTTCATTTTATTGCTCCTCGCTTTCCCATAAAAACAGTATGTCTAGTCCAACAATGAATTTGCCGAAAATGAAATTCTATTGAATGGTAATATCTTTAATGTATATATATATATACAACAGAATAAATCACTGAACCGAAAAATTCACTGTAAAACGAAGCTGAAATAGAGAATTGAAAATAAAAAAAAGATTTATGATGCATACCTCAGCTTCTAATTGAAAGATTCGAGTTTGTAAATTTCTAATTTCTTGACGAAGTTCACGATCATTAGCTACAGCATCCTCAAGTTCAGACATACGAAATGAATTGATAGCTTCCAGACGATCAATGTGACGTTGTAATGTTTGACATCTGGATTGCACTCTAAGAACCTGAGAAAATAGACAAACAATACTTTAGTTTTATTTATCATGGACTGACATTTACATATTTTATGGTCTACATAGACTTTAGGTACAACTATCCAGTTCAAGCTATAGAATAATGTTAAGCAGTTATTAATTATAGTCCACCAACTTCTCCAGTAATACGTTACTTTAAAAAACTACCACCATGACGCAGTTAGACCTTCAAGTTGTCATGCATTGCCTAACTACCGATCATGGAACTGCACCTATTTATAAGCGTGACTAGTTTTTGATTGCCTCGCTTTGTCGCATCTGTTATGCACTTCTTATCACGCTTTTTCTTTGACAGTTATTTCTTGTTCTTGTACTCGTTCTATTAATTTATATTTTAGAAATAAATGAAGTTTTTGACGACATATTTTGGCTTTTCTCTCCAAAGACAGTTTGAGTCTCCATGTTTGACAGTTGAGAGATTTGTTTAGAAAATCTACTTACGTGTAAAATTAGATCTTGACATAGTTAAATGACCATTATTGATCTCAAATTATACAACACAGCTAATTAAATAACCAACCCAATAATATGTCGTACTAATTAGTTGTCACGTAATACTCATATGAAAAAGGGTCAAATTTGTTTTCCGGGAATCTCAGTGGGGACTCTTATGAATATGAATGTTGGGAATTAAGAATAATAAAAGAATGAATATCCATAAAGGTTCAGTAAGCCTCATGTAAGCCATCGCCGCATATATTCATTATAATTTAATAAACGGCTTAAGTGACTATCTGACATGAACGACTCATTTGAAAATAAAACTAATTAAATTGTTATTAGTTTTAAAACAGCTACTTGGTGCTGTTACAGTAAAGGTTTGATAATTAAATGAACGATGTTCTGGCCAATAGAGTAATAAGTGGAAGATTTAGATTCAGATTCATTTAGGAATACACCTATATATTAGATGCAAAAGAAGATCAATTACGGTGACTAGTTTTTAATGTTAACCATTAAAAATGATGTCAAACAGAGTTTGTGTTAAATTGAGCACTAGAGTAAAATAAAACTTACATCCATTCTGGTTTCTCTGAGTTTTAGCAAAGCTCTAGCTTCACCTTGCCTAGCTGCAAAGGCTTCCATTCGAAAATCTGGTTTTGATAAAGGCCATCCAAATGACTGTCTCAGAGAAGCTCTCAATCGACTTAAACGATCACCTGGTTTTCTCTCATTCCCACATATCTCATATTGTTCTGGTCCCGAAGCACCTGATTCCGTCGGTGTTGGAGTATCTATGGATGCTCGATTATGATTAATTGTGTCATTTGAACAAGGAGAGTTAAGTTCACTTCGAAATCCATTCATCATAACATGATCAGCGGCACTACTACGACTTCTACGTAATAATGAAACAAATCCTTTTGGACGATTATTTTTTGACTCTGAGTCAAAATCTTCATCTTCATCACCACCACGACTTCTGTCTCGACGAGAAGGAGATATCGTTTTATTGTTTGCTTCAATTTGAAAGTTATAATGAGGTTGAGTTAATCGTCTAACATTTAAACGATTATTAGAATTATCATAATTCTCTACACCAGCTGTTACTCGACCAAAAGCATTTGTTACATCTTTTCCATCTTTACCATCAGATGTTGTATGACTAGCCAGACTACAACCACTATCACTTTGTGGTGAATCCAATCCTGATTGTTGAATACCTCGAGGAAATTCACTATCAATATCATTATTAAAATTATTATTGTATTGTTCATTTTGAAGACGAGAATAAATTCGACTAGTGTAACTGTTATTATTATTACTACTGTTGGATACACGGCTGTACATAGACTTATTGATAGATGGTGAAGCTAACTTTTGAGAATTGTTTTCTTCAGTTGAAAATGGAGATGAACGAATTTCGTGTAATATTCGCTGATCTTCCATATCAGATAAATTGTTTTGTGTCGATTGATAATTGGCATATTTTGCAGGTGAACTGTTCTGACTTGAATTAACTATCTGAGATTGTTTCTTCAAAGATAAACTTGTTGGTGATATGGTAACAGCATTAAAAAAGTTCTCCATTTCCGGATCCTTCAGATTATCATCAATAAAGCAGGTAAACCGAAAATTATGTAAAAATCATATTAGCTTTATTTCAAACAGTATAACATTTAAATATGCACAATTTTTAATGAGAGTGTGGCTTAATTTATTAGCTGATCTGGAATAAGTTGTTTGTTCTGAACCGAAATCTTAGTAAAAGTCAGAAAGTCAAGTGATATATGTTTATGACTGAAGCAATAAAACACAAAGGTTGTCTACCTTCGTGAAAACATTGATGCTTCCTAAATGGGTTCAGATACATTCCGCTGATTCGAGCTAATGAATGCAAAATCTTGATTCACAATATCTATATCATTACCTCCAACTGTTTCATTCTAGTTTATTTCATGATCTCATCATAAGATTTAATGTTCACCAAGTGAAATCCGATAATCATAACTGATTGACTTCAATTGAAGAACAAAGTATGAAGCAAAGAGCAATAGTTAGCTATTACTCGAAAATTTTATATTTGCCTGAATCTATATGATTTTGATCTTATACAGGGTAGCTGAGTGCATAAAGTTAATAAGTATTAAACTATCCTATTTCTCACTTAAGTACTAACTGGTATCAATTCATTTTTCAAAATGACATTTTCAACTACACATTACTCCATAAAAAAGGTGAGTTGTTCTTATTATACTAGACAATTTAATAAATGATAACTATAATAAAACATAACAAGTAACTGCCAATTTGTAAAATTGCAAACAACAAACAAACAAGCTTAGACATTTCATTATAATCAAGATACAAACAAAGGTGTTCTTCTTATCAATAAACAACTCTTATTCAAATGTATTTGAAATATAACACTATTGTTTTGTATATATGTGTAGGTAAATTTTCAATGTATTTTGTATATCTATGTATACATAGAGAAAGTCTATGTTTATTAATTGTTTTTTTCATTAAAAAACAATCTTTTTCTAAATTCAAATAAAAATACCAACAGAACAAAATGATCAATACACATGCGAGATGGAAAAAAAAGAATACACAATAAGGTATAATTAGTCAATTTACTTATATAGTTGTAATCATGAGTCAATGGAAGCTGGACTACCATGGAAAACGAGGAAGCACTGAATGACCGTTTCGTTCGAGTGTGCGACTTCTCAGTAGTGTGCACCCACGATCCCGCCTCGCCAGATTCGAACCCAGGACTTATAGGTCTCACGCGCGAACGATTAACCTCTAGACCACTGAGTCAGCTGGCATCCAACGGTGTTAATGTCTAACTTCATCCAATCCACGAAATTGAGCAACCGTCCATCATTGTTTATATTATATAGAAAATGACTGAAGTTTTGAAAAGTACTTCTATTAAGTAGTGATTCGAACCAACGACCTTAGGTCTATTGATTAAATATACAACCAAATAGTAAGTTGCATGATTCTTCTGGTATTCAAATAACATTTTTTTACTATGGATAGTCATGCAGATTGTTGAATGTTTTATTTTCATGTCACCGGCTGATCTTATTTAGGAAACCAATGAATGATAAGAACTAAGTATCTGATTCATCCTAGTAAAAGACTCTACGTCAGTACGTAACCATAAACTCACTGGATATTGAAACCAGGACCTTCAGTTCTCGAGACCAGTACATAACTTTCAGATTACTAAGTTAGCATTTGCTTGCTTACATTTTTACTGCAGTTAATTTGATGAGTAGTTTCCAGAGTTTCTGTGAGAAGTCACGGCTGATGGAGTTCAGTCATGTCGCATGTGAGACAATCATCACCATTGCCAATCGGTGGTGATATTGCATAATCTTACACAGTCGATTGAAGCTTATTCTTGATAATCTAGTGATTAGATTAACTGTTTTACAACTTAAAAGCTTGTAATCTAACTCCCTGTCGTTATTGGTGTATTCTTTTTGTGTTTCAATCATAAATAATATACATTTGGAGAGAAATCAGTTTTATATTCAGTTTATCAATTTCATATGACAATCGTTTTCATAAACTTTAAAATAAAACTAGTTTGTAACAGTTAAGAAGAGTTTAAAAAAATATTAAACTGTTTTGGAGTCTGGCTAGGTATTACCAAATGAAAAGGTTTCTATAACTAAGGAGTATCCTTCAAGTAATTATTTTATATCAGAAGGGGTTTTTGTGGATATTATATTAATTTTAATAGTTGAGATCATGAGTCAATTGAAGCTAGACCACCATGAAAAATCTGGAAGCACCTCTTCTGATGCTCACTAGTGACTGGCTTCAAAAGGTATGTCCTGGAGTTCTAGGGAGAAGCAGTAACTGATGGAGTTCAACCAGGTCTGTTGTGAGATAGTAACTCACTGAAGACAATGGTGGAAGTGTCGCTCAATTTCGTGGATAGGTTGAAGCTAGACATTAACACTGTTGGACGCCGGCTCAGTGGTTCTATGGGTTAAGCGTTCGCACGCAAGGCTGGTAGGTCCTGGGTTCGGATCTCGTGAGGTGGGATGGTGGATGCACACTGCTGGGGAGTCGCACATTCGGACGAAATGACCATCCAGTGCTTCAATGTTTTCCATGGTAGTCTACCTTCAATTGACTCATGATCTAAACTATTAAAATTATTTTATAGTGTAATAAGTAGACGAAGATTATCAGAACTTAGTGTATTCAAAAACAGTTTGTTCTCACCTTAAACCTACCCTGGAAATATTAGCTTATTACCAAAGTGATTAGGTTTCTAAGTGTTTTCACATTGTTTTCATTATCCCTGTCTCCTATAACCCCTCCCCCTATTTCTAGTCTAATTAACCTTTGTGTGATTAGATTGTTCGATATGTATTGCGCTAATATATCATCACATAGTTCTGATAATCTTCGTCTTCTTATTACTATACTATCGAAATTTATCAAAGGGACTAATTACTTTAAATTCATATTTTATGATATTTTCATCTAGAATTAATTGTAAGGTATCATAAAGTAATTAAACAACCTAACGGTGAATTGCTCAGTTTTGAAACGTCAACTTTTGCATTCTATACCATGAATTCTATCCATTAATTTATAAACAATGTAACAATGATAATATCTGCAACTATTACCATTTATGTATCATGAACACTTTTTAATTATGTATGTCTTTAGATCAATAAATTGTGATACCTTAAGATCTATCACTTCATTAGTAAAATTAAGTGACTTGAGAATAATATTGATAAAAACGGATTGGTGACCTACTGTCCTATTGTTAGAATCGCACATTTTTGCTAAGAAAATTGAACATTTCTGTGACATCAATTATGAAAAGCATATGACAACAAAGTTGATGAAATTATTGTTAATGAAGTAGAATAGATACCAATACCCAATCAATATACATTTACTTTTTTCAAACTGATGAAATTCTCACCAAAATAGAGTTAAAAGTATTCTTTTTATTCAGTGCTATATATGGTAAGTGTTATATCCCCTGGTGAATTATGAATGGTAAATCTGAGGTCTATTTATGGACAAATGTAACATGCTTATTTCTGATTGTATAGTTGTTAAATAACTGACCTAATCGTATTCGTGTTCCTCTTATCATAACCTTTATTTTGATTACTTTCCCCCTATCCACAGCTGCATTGGCCAATTATTGTACAAATGTTATTTTTCTATTTTTTGGTATAATGTGGTCTGTTTGGTTAGTATATAAACCCAGTATGTTTGTAAATAATGATTCATATTGCCGAGGCTGTTATTTGTGTTCTGCACTCAACTGGCTGGACTAGGCAGATAGTAGGGTCGATACGCAATCAAGACTGCTCGTACAATTTCAAGTATCATTTGCGTCCGATCAATAAATTCACTCCTCTCTAATTGCACGTTTATATATATTACGAGTCCATACGTTATAACAGTAAGCCATTTATACCTATGACCTTTTGTATTATAAGAATGGATTTTTACTTCAAAATAAATAATAACCAAAATAAAATCTCAATGTAAAGTTTTGTGGAGAACGTTGAATGCTTCTGAGATTGAGAATAAACCTAGGAAAACCACAGAAAACCACTAAGCTCTAGGCATTTATCTTGTCCTAGAACGAAACTTGTCAGTAATAAGCATTCATAACCTACTGAGCATCAAGACGGTGTCAGTTAGCTACCAACCAAAGGCAACAGAAGATAGTTGAACACTGTTTCCAATGTACACTGGTAGACACTACTTCAGTGGTCTAAAGGTTAAGGGTTCATCGTGAGACCTGAAGGCTGAAAGCTTGTTCCTCTGTACGGTCAGTGGTGTGCACTGTCAGGGAGTCCCATAACAAGACGAAATAGCTATACAGTGCTATTTTTCTTTCAATCGTTATCTAACTTGGGTCGATTCGAGATCCCAACAGAATAACAATCCAGTGGAGTCTCCAGCGCTGTGATGAACTTTCTCCCCATTTATGACTCGTTTTGCTTCATTTTTTTAACTGCCTTTAACTAGAAACGACACATTCACACTGAAACCACCTGGTGTGATTTTAACAATATGATCAAAATGGCATATGTGGGTGATGTCAGATGAATTAACTTATGACTACTACCAACCATTTAGTCTATTTATATTAATTTATAACAGATGTTAGTTGAAAAAACTATTGATAACTAAAAACCACTGAACGGTTTTTCATTCTTGTTTGAAAATCTATAGAACTGCGTTATAACAAAGTGCTCAAGAAAAGACCTCACCGTCATCATGGGAGATCTAAACACCAAAGTCGGAATAGACGACACAGGATTTGAAGACATCATGGGACGAAATGGACTGAGAAAGAGAAACGAAAATGGGGAGAGAATTGTAAATATGTGTATATAAATATGTATTCAACAAAATGGTTATATGCTGCACAATATTTCCACACAAACGCATACACAAAGCTACATGGATCTCACCAGACCACACCACAGAGAACCATATAGATCATGTTTGTATCAATAAAAAATTCCGAAGGACAATGGAAGACGTGAGAACCAGGAGAGGAGCAGATATAACTTCAGATC